TCTTCAATCCTGCTATATATAAGACCATTTAACTTAATCACGTAAATTAAGGTGAAGTAATGAACATCTTTAACTTTAATTTGTTTTTAAGAAAATGATTATATCTTTCTAAAATTACCCTTTTAAAATAATGAATGGACTCTATCTTTGTGGTTAAGTTATTTCAAAAATTTGGCTTTGAATTTTTTTTTAAACATAGCATATAGAAGATCATAAATATATAAATATATATATATATATACTATCTCCAGTCATATTTATAAGATAATTTCTAGAAGTAATTTTTAATTTAAAATATAGGACACATTGTAATAATTAAATCATTTTTTTTCAATTTCACCCTTTATTGATTAATATAAAAGTATTTAATATATTTGTGTTATGATTTAAATCCAAGAGTACAAATGAAAGTATGTCTCATTTTTTTATGATATTAAGAAAAATAAATAATTTTTCTTAATATGCATGAAATGATTACAAATGTCTTCATTTCATGACTTGGCAAAGGAGAACAAGGCATCCCATTTTTCTTTAATTTTCAATAATTACATTATTAAAATTGGCTGAATCGAGTGGAAGGGGCAAGACTTGACACTCTATAAATAAAATTATATTGAAGATTCAGATTAATTCTGCTAACAGAGAGAGTCGTGTTGGTAGAACTTCTCCTATACATAAAGTCTGATGAACCCAACAATAATCTTCAAATTTGGACTAGACAATAATAATAACTCCGAATTAATTAGAACCAAGCATGTTCCAAAAAAACAATATAATTAATATTGATGAAGAATATATACTTCACTTAGCTTGCACCGCATAAGCAGAGGATGAAGAACTACAGGATGATGGAGGTGCACCGGATGGCCATTGTTGATGAATTTAACGTAAAGCCCAGACAAGCTATGAGATACTTTTAATGTTTAGAATGTGAGTAAAAAATTGATTCATGAGATATTCAATAATGTTCTTAAATATAGGTGATGTTGATGTATGCCCAATAATAATAATAATAATATAATCTTTGAAACTTCTCTACAAAGTGGTGATGGTCAGAATCACCCTTTGATCTATCCTGCATCATCACAAGGGAAATTTTTAATTAGTTTAATATTAAATTCCAGGATATTTAATTATTAGTCCCTGAATTTTTTTTCAATTATCAATTTAATTCCTGAATTTTAACTCAAGACAATTTAATCATTGTAGCTTATTGAGCCAATGAATTATAAGGATTTGATTGTATCAAGTCAAAAAATTATAATGACCGAGTTATTCTGAATCAAAGTTTAATGATTAAATTGATAATTGAGAACAACTTCAAAGAACCAAAATGTATTGTTTAATTAAAAAATGAAAGTCCAGTTATGTCATATAATAATTCAAGCCGTAGAGTATAATAACATACTGTGGCAGAATAAATTAATAATTGAAATGAATCTTTGTTACTTATTCTTGCATGAATCTACGACAATGCTAAGAACTTAATAAACTTTATATATGAAAATATATAAATGTAACATTTCGGGATTATTTCGATTCTTTGAAACAGTTTATAGAGTATATAAAAGAATTGTTTTCGCTTTATCCAAAAAAAAAAATCAGAATTCTTCCCAGGGAAAGGCATATATTTGAAGAAAGAAAGTAGAAATTTGTGATGATAGGTATGAGTTTTCTTTGCACAATAATAAAAAATAATATAAGGAGTATGATTTGCATTTACTTTAAAATCAAGAAAATTAATGAAAATATTTCACTAAACAATTAAAATACAAAATAATTACAAGTTATATTCCATGGACAAAGGATATAAATTTGAAATTAAAAAAAAAACCACTTTACAAATTTCATTCAAGAGGCATCATAGCTATAAAAACAAATATGTAAACTTGTCTTAAGAAAACAATCTCTGTGCCTCTAAACAAACACATAAATGCAAACGTTCTAAAAAAAAAAAAAAACATAGATAGAACACAAAGCCTTACCACGAAAAAATGGCATGTGGACCAATGAAGCTGTATATGGTTGAACCAAACTCATATCAACCCGTGAAGAGAGGTCTTTGTATTTAGCATTTAACCATACTTTGAATACAATTATATCTATGATATAAAAGGTTTGATATTAGTTACATTGGAAGAGAACTTCAAGGTGAACCTTTGGGGTGGCTAGAGAGTTATACATGAACATCTATATATAATATAAAATATATAAGAAAAGATTGTAAGTGGGGACTCATCTTTAATTAGCTTTTTGTAAAGTACAGCCCCACAATCTATTTATATTTTATTATGGAAAAAAAGGAGGAAGTTTATATCATATAAAGAAAATCTCAGTTAATTAGATATGGAAGGTGAGGATTCTTGTGTAATCCAAAGTATTTATGTGCTTTACGACAAGTTAACAACTAAAGTTACATTACTTTAAACAAGCATATATAACATCTAGAAAATACCATTTACTAAATATTATGACTCTTTTTTAAACTTGACATAAAGCACAAGATCACAATTTAAGTATATTTATAATGAAAAAAGAAGGATATTGTTCATGCATAATTGCATATCATATGAAGCATATCTCAATATTAGATATGGAAGGTGAATATGTTTGTGTAATCTAAAGTATTTATGAGCTCCACGTCAGGTTAGAAGCTAATGTTTTAGTTGTTTCTAGATTTGATCTATGCTTTTTAAATGTGTATTTTAAAAAATGGTGCATAAATAAAAGGAAAAATTATTAACATATAATTTCCGTGAGGAATATAATTTATTTACAAATAAATCCATGAATTTGTAAAAATACTCTTAAGATTTTATTGGGATTTGGTTGTAATAAATTTTTCCTGTGAATTGACACAAATACTCCTTGACCTACCCTTTATTGATCAATGTTGATTATCAATCGACCAGTCACAAAATTTTTTTATACATTTGTTAAAATAATGATGCTTTAATATTTACAAGTAAATTTTCATTGATTTACTTGTAATTTGATAAAGTTTCACTTATAAATATTAAAGCATCAATATTTTAATAAAAATATTAAAGAACAGAAAATTCTTTGTTTGGCCAGTCAACGGCCGCCCTGTTGACTATTGACTGCCCCATGACAAATTTTTCATACACTTTCTATTTAAATAACAATGTTTAGCAAGTAACATTAAAGAATTAACAAGTTACAAGGATTGATAAGGTATTTGTCAACAAGTTTTCCTAATGAGTTAACAAGCAATATTATTGAATTAACAAGTTAAATTAGAGTTTTAATAAATCACCAAGATTGAATATGCATAAGGTATTGTCAACAAGCTTAATAGTTATTATTATTATTTTTAGCCACCTTGGAGTATTTATCTTCCAGTGGCCAATGCCAAAGCTCTAGTAGTTTTCATGAGGGTGGTCCGACAATGGAGTTTTGGTGAGGTAAATTTTTTTAAAAAAATATATATAAAGAGCATAATAATCAGTTCCCTTCAAAACTTATTTTCAATTTAGTGTGTTGATTCTACAATGAATTTTTAGAATTTATTAGGCTTGATTCAAAGTAATGTTACATCACTGCACCTATATTAAAATTCTCCCAATTTTATTTATAGATGGCGATGTAGTTGGAAATGGAGTGTAAAACTCGATCATGTGATTTATGTTTCATTTTACCAAAAGATATCGAACATTTGATGTAAAGTTTTCTTTCTTGGAAATGAAAGTCGCGATGGTAATTTTATGTTTAGAGACAATGTGTTGGCGTATCTTTTTGGTGGACAGCAGATCTTGAGGGTGAACATTAAGAGAGTAGTTTAAATTCACTTGAGTAAAATCAGGTAATTTAAATACCAATGAAGAATATCTTTTCAAATGAATAAAAATAAGATACATAGATTTTCTACGAATTATCTAAACAACATTAAAAGTAAAACATCTTTTCAAATTATTAATGAGTGATGATTTTAATAAAAAGAATCATGGCTATTTAAATATGAGGTTTTGAGTTTGAGTATGTGTGAATACAAAAAATATCTTTAAAACAACTACCCTGAGTTCAGCCAAGCAATGGAAGAACATCTTTTTAAATTAGGTTTAAACAAAAAATAATGACCTTTTATCCTTTTCTAATTTTTAAACTAAGAGCTTGTAAATAACTTTATGTTTGCTTTTTTATTAGAAGACTTTTGTTGGTTGAATAGCGTTACCAAGAATTTTTTTTTTATTTACACCATCCCTCAATTTTCTCTATATCTCCCTCCTTTCTCTTTCCTCTCTCTCTCCGTTTTCCCTCATTTGTTTAAGAGGATGACAATTAAATCTCAAAACATTAAATTAATATCAATTAAATTTCTGACAAATTTTTTTAAAAAATAAGTTTGACAATGTCGATCCAAATTACTATAAATCCAAAAATTTTACTTGCAAATAAATATTTAAATATCAAATATAATTTTTAGATTATAACAAAAATTTATGTTTATAATTATTTGAATTAATATTAATAATTCCTTTTGTAAAAATTTTTTTCAAAACCAAACTGTCATTAATTTATTTTGAAACCTAACTATCGTTCTCCTTTTTTGTTTAACATCAACTTAAAATAATCTCAATTTCTTAGACAAGACTTGAGGGAAATGTTAACTGATACGATACCATGGCTCCATGACCATACAGATCACCCCCTTTTTCATAATCTTAAATTATTAGATTGCCAGACAAAAGGAGAGTGTGCATCAAAATGTTGTTACTGAATCAAACCTTTTTTTATTCCATAGAAAATTCGACTGAGTTTTATGTTGGCTATCGATAATCCAACACAATCCTCCCCCTTTATTCACATTTAGGACTGGCTATGAAACATATACCAAGTTTGATACAAATCTTGTTATCTCAGAAAAAATAAATTCCTTTCTCAACTTGACAATCAGAGAGTAATCTTTCTTGCATCCATGCTTATTGTGAGCGCATATACAATACAAATATACCCTTCAAAAAATATATTTGCACACAGAGGACAGAAAAAGACAATTATTTAAACTTAAACCTTAATTTGAATGGAGAGAAAAAAAGGAGAAAAGAAAATTAAAAGGGAAAACTCTAACATAAAAATAACAAAATCACACCTAGTTTTCTCTTCTTCATATTTTCTTCCCACTTTTTTCACCATCCAAACCAAGCTTATGCGTTTTTGGATGCAGATTAAGGTATTGAACTATTCTCTTTAGTCTCTCTAAGAAGTACTGCTTATGACGAAAGCATCCATATAGACTTAGCTCCTAGTTTTTTCATGCGGGTGTGTATAATGCACCAGTAAATATCTGTTTTTGTTATGCATGAAAACTCCACACAAAGCGACTTCAGCAACTACTTTTGCTTAAAATGGTATTAAATGTGATTAGTTGTATACCTTATCCTCAAATTGATCAAAATTGCAAGAATTCTTCTAGCTTTTCGTTTTCACTTCCAAAGAAGGAAAGAAAAATCAAAGGCCTGGCACTGAAAACACAATAGTCTTCTTGTGGGTTTGGACTGAAACTCCGAGCAAAAGGATAAGTCTGCAGATTCAAGCCTTCTTGGCTTTCTTTGAACTGCCTTGTCTTTTATCAGTTTCTGCAGACTTCTTCTTGTCCTTCCTTTCTCTCTTCTTCAGAGCAGTCATGTGGGCCTTCAGTATAGTTGCATAGGAAGATTGAAAGCGCAGGTGATCTTTTTGTCCAACCTTCCAATGGGAAAAACCAGTACTTATCAGAAGTGACATCAGCTTATAAAAACATGAAATTATGTTGATTGCTGAGAAAGCAAGAGGTTAGAAGAATCTAGGACTTAGAGTTGACAACAACAACCCTTATCTCATTAGGTGAGATCGATTACATGAATTACACAATACTGTTGCATTCATTTAAATCTCTCTACAAAGTGGGATGGGAAACTTTACCTCAAAAGCTAGCTATTGAAGTGGGAAAACCAACCCATTTAAATACTGATAGAGACTTGGTAGTATGGGATACCAAGTCCCACATTGAGTAGTATGGGATGCTCAATTGGGTATACAAGTGGGTTGGTTCTCCCACTTTAACAGCTAGCTTTTGAGGTAGGGTTTCCCATCCTACTTAAGTACCTATCAATTGGTATTAGAGCCTCGTTGTCGGTGGTTCCGGAAAAGGCTACCCACAAAGGGTTCTGACCGGAAGGAGACCAAGTTAAGTGCTGTGGGATGTAGCCGTCGGGATGTCGGCTTTCCATGGGAGGCCAATTGATAGAGACTTGGTAGTATGGGATACCAAGTCCTACATTGAGTAGTACGGGACGCTCAATGGGGTATATAAGTGGGTTGGTTCTCCCACTTCAACAACTAGCTTTTGAGGTAGGGTTCCCCATCCTACTTAGGTACCTATCAATAATAATGGAACCCTCTATTCTAATAAGCTTTAAACAAGCATAAACCAGAAACTACACCACAAATGGGACTGAAAATTACTACTACCGAATAGCAAAGTTGGATTACAGCAAAATAAGGAACTGAAAATTACAACGTACTGAAACAGAAACAGCACAGAATACACTCCACCAAACAACAATCACAAAATATAAGTCACTCACTTACATACACACACTAAGCAGAAGATAAAATGATAAAGAAAGATGACTTCCTCCACCCCCAACTTGGCATTCGAGAGGCCAGAGCTCTCCTTACCACTCTCAATATTCAAAATAATCCCCCCCTCTCTCTAGGCAAGGAGGAAGATTTAAAGACCTAAAAAGTGACTCTAGCACAGCCCTTACCCCTAGAAGACCCTTAAACATCACTAGGACTCTAGCACATCACTAGGCCATCAATTACTTTCTTTTTTCCCCTCATAACCAGGATCCAAAAGGGCAAACATCTGAACCAACGATAATGTTATCTTTTAACCTCTTGCCTTCCTTGATTTCCTCTTATAGGTCTTAGTAAAATCATGACCTCAATCAAATACTTCATTGAACATCCCATACTACTTAATGTGGGACTTAGTATCCCATGCTGACAAGTATCCATCAATTGCCTCCCCTCCAATGGGAAGCCAATGGCTGTTTCCTGCAGGTCATAACCCTCCATGGATAACCGTCTTCAAAACTACCGACAACTAGGCTCTAATATCAATTCATGGATATCTACATCGGATAGACGCCCTAACTCAAAAAGCAAGTTGCTAAGGTAGGAAAATCAACCCACTTAAATACCCCAGCGTTCCATACTGCTCAATGTGGAACTTGATATCTCATACTCTACCAAGTCTCTATAACACTACTATAGTGTATTGATCACACTTGGACAACCCCTAGTTTAATTCTCGAATCTCATGCTCCTATTGGCAAGGACTAAATCATAATTAACAAGAAATTTAACATACCAAGCTGCAAAGTCAAAGAAAGTCAACAGGTCATCCATGCTGCTGCCTTGGATTTTCATGCCCTTAGCAAGCATGAGTTTTATCAAATAATTTTAAGGCTCTTGTTGTTTCGAAGACAAAAATTTCTACCTTGTGTTTGTTTTGTTAGTAAAACGAATTTCTAGGAACATCTTTTTCAAACGACACAAATTTCCTTTTTTAAAGAAAATTTTTCCTTAAAAAAGAATATAGAAACCATGTAATTTTTTTCTTCAAATAGCTGCTATCAGCTTAGCACCTTCACTTACACCCAGGCACGTCTATATGCACTCAAACGCACACAATATATACATAAACAATTGAACCAATGGATATATACACATGCAAGTACAGGCAAATTATGTATGCATATACAAATGTATGAACTTGCACTGATAACCCCCCTCCCAAAAGAGGTGAAAAAAAACACACACATACACGCTCTCAGTGCATGCATGTGTGCGTCTGTGTTGGGACAACACATGCAGGCGTATGCATATGTGCTCATCATCAGCCACTGAGCTACTATTCTCAACCTTTTTTTTCACATAATCCAAACAAAACAGTAGCAAACTTTGGGCAATTTCTAAGCAACTTCCATTTTTCTAGGAACAAATGGAGCCCAAGTTGAAATGAAATTAATATTCCAGATCATGCTTGACTATATAACTAGATTGTGGGGCCCATGCTTGCACAGAGCCTAAGATGAGTAAACACTATTTATGATCTCTAGAGAAGTGCAAGTTCCTTTAGATTTTATATTGATATGCTGATACTTGCCAATTGATATTTCAAAGATATTCCAAGTCATAATGTTTGTGAAGGTTTGGGGGGTCTTTTCATTTGAAACAATTGCGTGGACGAACTGCATTGTCATGTGTCTTTTGCATGGATGATCACCAGGGAAACAAAGAGGATTAATCTAGAATCAGTATGAAAGTGATCTCCAGTGTATAACACGCAATATGAAAACAAATAAATTGAATGTCAGTTGGGAAATTATAACGTTATCATCATATTCATAAAAATAATACATATTAACTAAAGATACATCAAGATTGTCAGGATTTATAAACTCACCAAAGTAATCTAATGGCTTTACTTCTTTTCAGTTTCACACTGTGCCTTTTGGTGTAGTTGTCTTCCTAGTCAAGAGCTACAAGTATTAACCATAAGAGAGGATGGGAGGGAAGGGGTGGAAGGGAAAAATTACTTTCCCCTTATTTATTTTGAAGAATGGAATTGCATATTACATTATGCAGGATTTAAGAATTAAAGTAAGCATTTCCCCTTATTAGGAGGAGATGAACATGTTAGGATTTGAAGGAGAATGGTTCCCCTTCAATCAACTTCTCCTTCAAAAAAAATTAAACTCTCAAACAAAGTAAGTGTTTCTATTCCCCCTCTTCGCAACTTTATAACTACTCAGGACTCGGGAGATCATGTCTGTGATAATAAAACTGTTCAAACAAGACATACCACACTAAGATAGTAATACCCATCATAATTTTTCCAGAAACATAGCAGTCTCTCTATACTTTTTTCTTACTTAAAGGAGAACTACTACAGCGTAAACATAAATAGCAGAACATTTATAGTACTGCAAAGCAGAAGGTTTCATCTAAGGTACCACTGCCTTGCATGTCTGCAGCTTTAAATCGGGAAAAGAAAATCTCAAGGCCACAGATTTATGATCTGAACCTCTACGATTAACACAAGTGTGAGACCCAGAAAAACACACAGGTGAAAGCAATAGATGATAAATATTAACATAGAAATACTACCGGAGGGCAAAGACAAGTGAAAATATTAATTTTGAAAAGGTAAGACACATACTGAAGTAGAAATCGTCTTTTTCCCATCAGTAGCGCGAATGAGACATCTATACTCAATTGTTTCACCAGCAGAAGCCAATTTATTCCTCTGCACTTTAGACTTTAAGGAGGCTAAAGCCACAACAAACGGCAAAACAACAATAAATTCCCAAATAGATAAACTTAAAATATGAGTCCATGAAGAAGAGAACAATGACACACACATCGTTTAAGAGTAACCCAAACAGAGCCCTTCTCAGTGCTTCGCTCGAACATGCTCGTCAGTTCATTAAGGAACGGATCTAGTTGAAGCAGAACCTAGCGAATTTGGGAAAGTCGAAAACGTAAGGTAGAATGACCCAAAAATATGTTTACAACATTCTGCACATTTCTTCATCTTTAGTTCAGACCATTGCTCTACACAATTAAAAAAATAGAAATTCAAAAGTAAACAACTATTTTCCTAGCAGAATCCTCGTCTGAAAACAAAAAAAGAGCAGTTTCCTGACATAATTCCAAAACTCACAAACCCACTGGAAACTAAAATAAATCAATTTAAAATAATGACGGATAAATTGTTCCAAGGCTAGTAAATTTCTACAGGAGATAAATGGGAACACGCAATTTGCAGCAAATCACTAAGACGAATCTGAGAAACTTGGGAGAAGAACAAAGAAAGATAGAATTCATAGAAGATCGATTGAGAGAAGGGACAGAACGGTTACCATAGTTGAAGGTCACAGAATTATCGGAAATTCCGTCGCCGGTTAGATCAAGGCACGGTGAGTCGGGAAGTGAAGAGAGGATCGAAGACGGGGTTTAGGAAAGCCTGTAGGTGGATGCAGGGGTGCACAAAAGATTCGACGGGAGTCGACTTCAATTAAGTATGGTCCTTCTCGTGAAAAGAATTGTATTAGATAATTTATAATTTAATTTATTTTTGTGATAATTTGAAGATTAATATGGTCGAATTTACTTTATAAGATTAGAAGATTAGTCCTGTTAATTCATTAATTCAGTACTCACTTAGCTTTTTTCTTTTCCTTTTTTTTTTATAATAAACAATAATTCATTTCAATCTAATAAATTTAATTAAAATAATAAAAACACTTATAATCATAATAAATTTATAATAATTTCTAATATCAAGAAAAAAAATATTTCAATTACAATTCAAACTTCAAATAATTTAAATCTAACTTCAATAAAAACATTTAACAAAGTTTAACACTATATTATATTTGTCATGTAATTATCTCCTTAGTTTTAACAAAAACAAATTCAACAAATCTTCAAATAACTATCTCCTTAATATCAATAACGCTTGAAGCATCTGTCAAAAATAAATTATATACACATATATAAAGTGATTAGTAATTGTAAAAATGTAATATATAAATTAGATGATGCAACAAAGAAATGTGATTGACGGAGGTGGGCTGTGGTGCACCAGAGGAGGGCAGGGGCTAGAGTTTCAGTGCACTAAAGAAATTGAGGATAAGAGTAGAGTTGAGTGAGTGGCTGAGTGCTATTGAGTAAGCTGTGCAATAGTGTTGAGTTTTTTTTTTCAATCAAAGTGCAAAGTACAAGGCAGAACTAAGATTTTTTTTTTACTTTTTGGTTAGAAGACTAGAACTTATTAATTAACAATTTATAAATTAATTTTAATTATATTAAAACAATTATATAGGACTAGACCAGACCACTTAGTCTAGATATTTGGTCTCTAGTCTGGTCATACCTGAAAAATCAATCTTGATCCTGTCTTTTTGGTTTTTTTATCCTATAAGATCAGTATTTTACAGGACTGGATAGGATCAAATTTTTATGAGTCAGATTGGATCAAACCAGACCACGAAACTTTTGCACAACCTAGATGTATGTTTGATGAATCCAGCATTCTTCGCTAGGTTAAACGTGTGGGTGCTTTGACGGAAGTCAAAAATAAAAAATAAAAGCGAGAATTTCAGTATAAGATCCCACAAGCAATTTAATTTCAAAAATAAACGAAAAGATTCTCAAAGTATAGCGCTGGAATTTGCGATATTTAGTAGGTAGAATTTTAAAAAAAGAAATAAAAAATATATCTACCACATCTTTTCAGTATACTTTTATGTATATTAAGCATATTATAAAATTATACTTTAATTGAAAATGATCAAGGTATCAATTTTTTTTTTTTTTAAATTCACCCATCTAGCAACAGCCACTAGCTACCTAAATAAAAATTAAAAAAATTAAATTGAAATTATGATAATGGTAGTACAGGTAAGACTACTCTATAACATGTCTTGACATCTTTGATATTACGTATCCAAGGAGGAATTATCTTCACTCTGGCTTTCATTGGCATTGCTACCACAATATTGCCGTCTGATAGAATTGCTCGCTCAAGGTTTGCCAACGCTATAGACATTAATGAAGATTCTATTTGTAACATTAAGAAAACATTCACCATTGACAAATTTATTAATGGTTAAAATTAATTTTGTGTTTTTTCAAGTGTTTGGTTAATAAACCAAATAACCAATTTTTTAATAAAAAAATGATTAAAAACATATCCAAACACACACCTAATCTTTTAAAAAATGATGACTTTTCACACCTGATTATAGAATTGGTATAAAAGAATATTTTTTGTAAAAAAAATTATTATAGTAGTGTTCTCCTTTAAGGTGAATTATGATTTTTTTTTATCCAAATAAGAGATAATTGTCCTCAACCAAAATTAAATTAAAAATTTATGTATGATACATTGAAATTATATTTTAAATAAAAATAATAATAAATTTTGAACAATTAGATGTTCTTCCCATATATTCTATGATTAGTATAGGGTTGCCAATAGATTTTATAAATGTTTTGTTATAATGATAATAATAAATATTTTATTTTGCAATTATAAGAGATTAAAAGAAAAATTTTTTTGCTTCTAGTGATGGTTTTAATAAATATTTATTTTCATTGTTTTTGTGTAAAAGTATGAACATAATTTTTATTTGGGTAAATGAAGGTCATTTTTATAATGTTTTTAATTAGTTATCTTATTCGCATTTTAAAAATATGCATATCAAATATATATTAATTAATTAATTAGCTCCAAAAGTTTCATTACGACATCAGATTAGTGACATGCCGTTGTAATTGACCCTCTGTTGTGTGCTATCATTATTCACAAAAGTCGAATTTAATGTCACTTCAACTTCGTTAATCCAATCCCCTCTAATTCAATAAAACCATTGACCCTTTAATTTTTTTTTTTTCCCCTTTTCTTTTTTCACTTGAAGACCCTTCAATCCAATCAATCAATCATTGAATATAATAATGAACTATAATTAGTTCTTTTTACCAAAAATCTGTTATTTTTTTCTTTCTTTCTTTAAATCGTCCGCTTTTATATAAAAATAAAATATATTTTGATATTTTAAAAATCTTAAAATGGTAAATTTTTATATGTTTAATGACTTTTCAAAAATAGAGGAGTGTAAATGTTATATTTTTATTTTAAAAATACAAAAATTTATTATTTTTAATTTTAAAATATCCAAATACTTCTCATTTTATATATGTAAAAGTCAATAATTTTAAAAAAATGAAATTAAGAAGTTAACAACCAAACAGACCTAAAGAACAAAGGAGTTGGCTAATCCAACAACAAAAAAAAAAAAAAAGCACCGGGCCAAGTGGAGTAGGTAGACAAATGGTGGATTCGCGAAGTGGTGAAGGGGTGCCGATGAAAAAGGCAGTGTGAATAGGCCTAAAAAAATTTAAAATACCTGAATAGCATTTTAAGTTTTTTAAAACAATATATTAAATATTAATTAATTACTTAAATTTTAGCATATTTGTGCTAAGAACCATATATTTGAATATAGTATAATAAATATTTTCTTAAAACATTTAACATATTAATATTGTTATATTTTTATTATTTTTAATCTATAAAATATCTTAAAATAATATTTAAAATATATTTTAATATTAATTTTTAAACTTTAAGACCCATAAATTTAAAAAAGTGATGTATGAAAAATTATTTTAGAAATTAAAATATTATATTTCTTCTCAAAATATGCTGATTTTTTAAATTATACATCAAATATTAAAAAAAATGTATTTATGAGTTACAGTATAAAATGTTCATTTAATCTTATTTATGAGTAATTTTTTAAGTAATATTTAAAAATTATTTTTAAAATTATCCTTTATTAATATAATAAAATATTATTTTTTAAATTTATTATATAGTTGTATATTTAAAATTTTATATAAATTTATTTTTTTATATTGATATTGATAAAATTAATAAAAATATTTTGTAAAAAGAAAAGAAGGAGGAGTGACTAAAAGAGTAGGGGAGTCGTTTCCTTTTTTTTATTTTGTTTATTTTTACCCTTCGTTTATTATATAATGTAAAAAATATTATATAATAAATGATGAAGATATGAGAAGTTGAGAAAAAGAGGATAGAATAAAAAGGGGAGCCCTTGTGACTAAAAAGAATAGGATGGTGATTGCCTTGAGGGCGTTATGCCACGTGTAGGAGGATAAAAACTGAGGCGTGCAGCCTCGGATAATAATCATTGTGGGGTCCCTCCTGTGGCGATCTGTTCGGGCTAACACAAACATAATAAATGCCGTCTTCCTTCTGTCTACTTCTCGCTCGCGAGTCAGGCGGCATCACCCGGATTTGGAATCTCATCACTTTATTCCTTCCCATTTTTCTACATTTTTTACATTTCCATCATTCATTAATTTTATTATTTAAAAAATATATTTAATAAAATAATCAAATAGTAGGAATTGGACAAATGGAGGGAAAGAGATCCTCTCCCGTCCCACCTACTGTTCTTTTCAGATTTTGAACACGGTGGACGATTTTTTTAAACACAAGGCTACAGTAGAAAATTGTATAAAAGGATCAAATCAGGCCATGTTAAAAGATAAAATACTTCTACAATCATTAGAAGTATCATTAAGTAATATAGTGTTAAAATGGTCACTAGAGGTCTTATGAGTAAAGAGATTGACATAACGATTTACTTCTCTGTAAAAGTGATCCAGAGTGACCTCTCAGTTTCTTATGATGAGATTTCTGATGCTTTTGATGATAGTTGAGAGTGGATGACCCTGAATTAGATTGCCATTAATGAGGAATATGGCCTCCTTTGAGTTGATACAAATATTAAGTGTGTGTTTGATTTTCAGTTTGTTAAAAGTCAGTTTGATGAAAGTTCATTTAGCAAAAGTCAGTTTAGTAAAAGTCAGTTGTTGTAATAAAATTTATGTTTGAATATATATTTTTAAAAGTCAGCTTGACAAACTGAAAGTTGTTTGAATTAATAAAAATTTGTACTTGTAAAATGTATTTTTAAATATACAATTATCGAAAAAGATATTAATTTATGATAATTTATAACTTGACATGTTTTATTAAAATTAAATGTTTTTCATTAAAAATTTTATTTTCTTGGCACATTTTATTATTTGGATAATTTTTATTCTTATTTTTAAAATTTTAGTTGGTTGAATTGCATTAGATTAATTTAACTTTAGTTACTTTGTGTTTTTAAGAAATTGGAGGGCCAAGTTGGTAATTTACTCATTTTTATTTTAAATTATATTTTTAACTTTTCAAAAGCAGATCATCTGGCATGAAGGAAAAAGAAAAAGAAGAGGAGAGAACGCAAACAAGGGGAGATCATCATCTCGCACGAAAATCGCTCTTCACCACTTTCTCTCGGTCAGAGCTTGGTCGCATGAGTTCGTCGAGAAGGATCTGCCATAGCCACTTGAGTTTAGGGGGGCAACGATAGTCCACTGTGATGAGCATCTCTGAAATGGTGGAGATGGAGTGACAGAACACGAGCTCACTCACGACAAGAATAAAAAGAACAATGAAAGGTATCATGATCAAATATAAAATTAGGTATCAGTTATTATCATGCTCAGATCACACTTACGTTTGAAAAGTAACATCCTGCAGCTTTTGAAAATCCACGTTCAGTCCATCTCCAAATGCACTTTTTCAATGTGCTTTTCTTAAAAAAAAAAAATTCTCCCAAATATCATTTCACATCTTAAAAATAATTTTTTTTTTTGAGATGTGGGATGTAGTTTTTCCAAATATCATGTAATTATCCAAAAATTGACGATGATTGAGAAATTAAAGCAAAATCAATTCATTGGTAATCCCCATGATTGTAATCTCTAGACTTGGATCCTCTCATTATTTTCCTCATTTTCTTCTCCTCATCTCATTCTCATCTTCGGATAAAAAATTGAATGGCTAAGATTTATTTATCAAAAATTGAAAGGTGAGAGGGAAATGAGAAGAAGAAAAGGCAAAAAAGAAAAAAAAAAACACAGAGAGAGAGAGAGAGAGAGAGAGAGAGAGAGAGAGAGGGAGGATCTAAATCTGTCACACATTTTTGGCCAATATCTCTGCAACGTTCTATGGTTAGGCCTTCTGGAACCCCCTGTAAGCTCATAGTGGACGATTTAAATATAATGTCGATCGAACTCATCCTCTTCGTGGCTGAGTCCTTGATTTCGTCATCACAATGGCCAAACCTTCTGTTCTCTCTCTTCTCTCTCTCATCGCCGTCATCTCCGTCTCCGCCGCCGCCGCCGCCTCCGCCTCCTCCACCTCAAACTTCATCAAAACCTCCTGCAGCACCACCACATACCCTCCTCTGTGCTTGAAATCTCTCTCCGACTACGCCACCACCATCCAACAAGACCCTTACAAGCTCGTCCAGACCGCTCTTTCCTTCTCCCTCAACAAGACCGTCGAGACTCGTGCCTTCGTCTCCAAGCTCCGATCGGTCTCTGGCCTCAAACCCAGGGATCTCACCGCCCTCCGAGACTGCACCGAAGAGATGGCCGACAGCGTCGACCGGCTCGGCCGGTCGTTGAAGGAGCTCAAACTGTGCAAGCCTAAGAGCGAGGACTTCACGCGGCACATGAGCAATGTGGAGACCTGGGTGAGCTCTGCTTTGACGGATGAGAGTGCTTGCAGATATGGGTTCGCCGGAAAAGCTTTGAACGGCCGGATCAAGGCTTCTATCAGAGCTAGAATGGTTAATGTTGCTCATGTTACAAGTAATGCTTTGTTTCTTATCAACAAGTATGCGTCTGGCAATTACTGAGATATAAATTTATATGTAGTTCATGTAGAGGAAGATGAATCTCTCTATGGTTTGATGCTTTGTCTCTGTGCCTGGACTTAGCTTTTGGTTCTTGCTTCCTCTTTTTTTTTTTTTTTTTCTTTTGATGACCATGTTAATAATAAAGTTGGTTTCATTTGGTTGATGTCTGATTCAGCTTGTGTGATATGATTTAAAATTATATACATAGAAATCTTCAGTTGTTTTATTTATTTATTTTTTAGATTTTTGTGCCTTATTTATTTATTTTTCCTCTAACAAATGTGCTGTATTCAATATAATACATTTAAGATAAAAATATTAACAAGGTATTGTCAACAAATTTTTGGCAATATTAATAAATTAATAAGTTAAATTAAAGTTTTAATAAATCACAAAGATTGGATGCATACAAGGTATTGTCAACAAGCTTAATGATTATTATATTTTTTTATGCGGTGTTGGGTTAAACCCCCCTAGCCACCTTGAGGTATTTATCTTCTAGCGACCAACACCAAAGCTCCAGTAGTCGTTGTGAGGGTGATTCAACAATGGGGTTTCAGTAAGGCAAATTTTTTTAAAAAAAATAATATATAAGGAACATTATAATCATTTCTCTTTAAAACTTAGTTTCAATTTAGTGTATTGATTCTACAATGAATTTTTAGAATTTATTAGGCTTGATTCAAAGTAATGTTACATCACTGCTCCTATATTAAAATTCTCCCAAAAATGGACTGTAAAACTTGATCATGTGATTTATGCTTTATTTTACCAAAAGATATTGAACATTTGATGTAAAGTTTTCTTTTTTGGAAATGAAAGTCGCGATGGTAATTTTATGTTTAGAGAGAATGTGTTGGCGTATTTTTTTGGTGGACAGCAGATCTTCAGAGTGAACATTCAAGAGAATAATTTGAATTCACTTAAGTAAAATCAGGTAATTGAAATACCAATGAAGAATATCTTTTCAAATGAATAAAAATAAGATACATAGATTTTCTAAAAATTATCTAAACAACATTAAAAGTAAAACATCTTTTCAAATTATTAATGAGTGATGATTTTAATAAAAAGAATCATGGCTATTTAAATATGAGGTTTTGAATTTAAATACGTATGAATATAAAAAATATCTTTAAAACAGCTACCTTGAGTTTAGCCAAGCAATGGAAGAACATCTTTTTTAATTAGGTTTAAATCATACATAATGACTTTTTATCCTTTTCTAATTGTTAAACTAAGAGCTTGTAAATAACTTTATGTTTGCTTATTTATTAGAAGACTTTTGCTGGTTGAATAGCATTACCGAGATTTTTTTATTTAACTCCTTCCCTCAATTTTTCTCTATATTTCCCTCCTTTTTCATTCCTCTCTCTCTCTCCATTTTCCCTTTCCTTTTTTCCATTTTCTCTTTTTGGTTCAGAAGAGAATGACAGTTAAATCTCAAAATACTAAATTATTATCAAGTCTCAATTTTTTTTAAAAAAAATAAATTAAAAATATCAATTCAAATTATTACAAATATAAGAGTTCCAATTACAAATAAGTATTTAAATATTAAATATAACTTTTAAATTATAGCAAAACTTTGTGTTTATATCTGTTTAAATTAATATTTATAGTACATTTTGTAAAAAAAAAATTTAACTGTTATTAATTCATTCTTCTAAGACGTAACTATCATTCTCCTTTTTGTTTAACATTAACTTCTAATAATCTCAATTTTTTAGACAAGACTTAAGGGAAATGTTAATTGATGGGATACCATGACTCCATAACCATACAGAACACCCCTTTTTTCATAATCTTAAATTATTAGATTGCCAGAGAAATGGAGAGTGCGCACATCAAAATGTTACCATTGATTAAAACCTTTTTTATTCCATATAAAATTCAATTGAGTTTTATGTTGGCTATTGATAATCCAACACAATCCTCCTCCTTTATTCACATTTAGGATCGGCTCTAAAACATATACCAAGTCCAACACAATCCTCCTCCTTTATTCACATTTAGTACCGGCTAAAAAACATATACCAAATTTGATACAAATCCCGTTATCTCAGAAAAAATAAATTCCTTTCTCAACTTGACAATCAGAGACTAATTTTTCTTGCATCCACGTTTATTGTGAGCACATATACAATACAAATATACACTTCACACAGGGCAGAAAAAGACAATTATTAGAACTTAAACCTTAATTTGAATGGAGAGGGGAAAAAAAAAAGAGGAGGGAAGAAAATTAAAAGGGAAAACTCGTAAAGTAAAAAAAAAAAAAAAAATTCTCACCTAGTTTTCTCTTCTTCATATTTTCCTCTCACTTTTTTCACCATCCAAACCAAGCTTATGCGTTTTTGGATGCAGATTAAGGTATTGAACTATTTTCTTTAATCTCTAAGAAGTACTGCTTATGACGAAAGCATCCATATAGACTAGCTCCTAGTTTTTTCATGCGGGTGTGTACAATGCACCAGTAAATATCTGATTTTGTTATGTATGAAAACTCCACATAAGGCCACTTCAGAAACAAATTTAACTTAAAATGGTATTAAGTGTGATTAGTAGTATACCTTAATCCTCAATTGATCAAAACTGCAAGAATTCTTCTAGCTTTTCGTTTTCACTTCCAAAGAAGGAAAGAAAAATCAAAGGCCTGGCACTGAAAAAACAATAGTCTTCTTGTAGGTTTGGACTGAAACTCCGAACAAAAGGATAAGTCTTCAAATTCAAGCCTTCTTGGCTTTCTTTGAACTGCCTTGTCTTTTATCAGTTTCTGCAGACTTCTTCTTGTCCTTCCTTTCTCTCTTCTTCAGAGCAGTCATGTGGGCCTTCAGTATAGTTGCATAGGAAGATTGAAAGCGCTGGTGATCTTTTTGTCCAACCTTCCAATGGGAAAAACCAGTACTTATCAGAAGGGACATCAGCTTATAAAAACATGAAATTATGTTGATTGCTGAGAAAGCAAGAGGTTAGAAGAATCTAAGACTTAGAGTTGACAACAACTACCCTTATCTCATTAGGTGAGATCGATTACATGAATTACACAATGCTGTTGCATTCATTTAAAACTCTCTCTACAAAAATGTCACCATGATGGGGGCGGGCGACTAAGTGGGATGAAAAAATTCACCCCAAAAGCTAGCTATTGAAGTGAAAAAACCAATCCACTTAAATGCTCAATTGAACATCCCATACTACTCAATGTGTTATTTTTAGTATCTCATGCTAACAAATCTCTATCAATTGCCTCCCCTCTAATGGAAAGCCAACATCTGTCTCCTACCAGTCATAACCCTCCATGGATAACTATATTTAAAACTACCAACAACTAGGCTCTAATGGCAATTGATGGGTATCTAAGTGGAACAGAAACCCTAACTCAAAAAGGAAGCTGCTAAGGTAGGAGAATCAATTCACTTAAATACCCCATTGAACATTTCATACTGCTCAATGTGGGACTTGATATCTCATACTCTACCAAGTCTCTATCACACTACTATAGAGCATTGATAACACTTGGACAACCCCCAGTTTAACTCTCGAATCTCATGCTTCTCTTGGCAAAGACTAAATCATAATTAGCAAGACATTTAACATAAAAAGCTGCAAAGTCAAAGAAAGTCAACAGGTCATCCACGTTGTTGCCTTGGATTTTCATGCCCTTAGCAAGCATGAGTTTTATCAAATAATTTTAAGGCTCTCATTGTTTCAAAGACAAAAATTTCTACCTTGTGTTTGTTTTGTTAGTAAAAAGAATTTCGAGGAACATTTTTCAAATGATACAAATTTCTCTTTTTAAAGAAAATTTTTCCTCAAAAAAGATAGAAAACATGTAATTTTTTTCTTCAAATAGCTGCTATCAGCTTACCACATTCACTTACACCCAGGCACGTTTATATGCACTCAAACGCCATAATATTTACATAAACACAATTGAACCGATGCATATATACACATGCAAGTACAGGAAAATCATGTTTGGATATACACAGGTATGAACTTGCATTCATAGCCCCCCTCCCAAAAGAGGTGAAAATGACACACACATACACGCACTCAGCGCATGCATATGTGCGCGTGTGGAGACAGCATATGCAGGCGTACACATATCTGCTACCATTCTCAACCTTTATTTCACATAATCCAAAAATAGCAAATTTCGGGCAATTTCTAAGCAACTTCCATTTTTCTATGGACCAAATGGAGCCCAAGTTGAAATGAAATTAATATTCCAGATCATGCTTGACTGTGCGGCCCATGCTTGCACAGAGCCTAAGATAAGTAAACGCCATTTATAACTCTAGAAAACTGCAGCTTCCCATAGATTTTATATTGATATGTCGGTACTTGCCAATTGATATTTCAAAGATATTCCAAGTCATAAATGTTGTGAAGGTTTGGGGGGTCTTTTCATTTGAAACAATTGAGTGGATGAACTCCATTGTCATGTTCCTTTTTCATGGATGATCATCAGGGAAACAGAGAGGATTAATCTAGAATCAGCATGAAAGTGATCACCAGTGTATAACACGCAATATGAAAGCAAATAAATTGAATGTCAGTTGGGAAATTATAACGTTATCATCATATTCATAAAAATAATACATATTAACTAAAGATACATCAAGACTATCAGGATTTATAAACTCACCAAAGTAATGGCTTTACTTATTTTCAGTTTCACCTTGTGCCTTTTGGTGTAGTTGTTTTCCTAGTCAAGAGCTATAAGTATTAACCATAAGACAGGATGGGAGGGAAGAGGTTGAAGGGACAGATTACTTTCCCCTTGTTTATTTTGAAGAATGGAATTATATATTACATTATGTAGGATTTAAGAATTAAAGCAAGCATTTCCCCTTATTTGGAGGAAATGAACATATTAGAGTTTGAGGGAGAATGGTTTCCCTTCAATCAACTTCTCCTTCAAAAAATTTTAAACTCTCAAACAAAGTAAGTGTTTCTATTCCCCCTCTTCCAACTTTATAACTACTCAGGACTCGGGAGATCATGTCTGCGATAATAAAACTGTTCAAACAAGACATACCACACTAAGATAGCAATACCCATCATAATTTTTCCAGAAACATAGCAGTCTCTCTAAACTTTTTTTCTTACTTAAGGAGAACTACTACAGCGTAAACATAGATAGCAGAACATTTATAGTACTGCAAAGCAGAAGGTTTTCATCTAAGGTACCACTGCCTTACATGTCTGCAGCTTTAAACCGGGAAAAGAAAATCTCAAGGCCACAGATTTATGGTCTGAATCTCTATGATTAACACAAGTGTGAGCCCAGAAAAACACACAGGTGAAAGCAATAGATGATAAATATTAACATAGAAATACTACCAGAGGCAAAGACAAGTGAAAATATTAAGTTGAAAAGGCAAGACACATACTGAAGTAGAAATCGTCTTTTTCCCATCAGTAGCGCGAATGAGACATCTATACTCAATTGTTTCGCCAGCAGAAACCAATTTATTCCTCTGCACTGTAGACTTTAAGGAGGCTAAAGCCAAAACAAACAACAAAACAAAAATAAATTCCCAAATAGATAAACTTAAAATATGAGTCCATGAAGAAGACAACAATGACACACACATCGCTTAAGAGTAACCCAAACAGAGCCCTTCTCAGTGCTTCGCTCGAACATGCTCGTCAGTTCATTAAGGAACGGATCTAGTTGAAGCAGAACCTAGCAAATTTGAGAAAGTAGAAAACGTAAGGTATGACCCAAAATATGTTTACAACATCCTTCATAGTCCTCCATCTTTAGTCCAGAACATTGCTATACACAATTGAAAAAAAAAAAGAAATTCAAAAGTAAAGAACGAGTTTCCCAGCAGAATCCTCATCTGAAAACAAAAAAGAGCAGTTTCCTAACATAATTCCAAAACCCACAAAACCAGTGGATATTAAAATCAATCAATTTAAAATAATGACGGATAAATTGTCCAAGGCAAGTAAATTTCTAAAGGAGAAAAATGGGAACACGCAATTTGCAGCAAATCACTAAAACGAATCTGAGAAACTTGGGAGAAGAACAAAGAAAGATAGAATTCATAGAAGATCGATTGAGAGAAGGGACAGAACGGTTACCATCGTTGAAGGTCACAGAATTATCGGAAATTCCGTCGCCGGTTAGATCTAAGCACGGTGAGTCGGGAAGTGAAGAGAGGATCGAAGACGGGGTTTGCGAAAGCTGTGGGTGGATGTTTGATGAATCCAGCATTCTTCGCTCGGTTTGACGGAAGTCAAAAATAAAAGCGAAAATTTCAGTATAGATCCACAAGCAATTTAATTTCAAAAATAAACCAAAAGATTCTCAAACTATAGCGCTGGAATTTGCGATATTTAGTAGGTAGAATTAAAAAAAAAGAAATAAAAAATATATCTGCCACAACTTTTCAGTATACTTTTACGTATTCTAAACATGTTATAAAATTATACTTTAATGGAAAATGATCAAAATATTTAAAAAAAAAAAATTCACCCATCTGGCAACAGCCACTAGCTACCTAAATAAAAATTAAAAAAAATTAAATTGAAATTATATTATGGTAGCACAAGTTAGACTACTCTATGACATCTTTGTTATCATGTACTCCAAGAAGGAATTGTCTTCACTCTGGCTTTCATTGGCATTGCTACCACAATATTGCCTGTATGATAGAATTACTCACTCAAGATTTGCCATGCCTATAGACATTAATGAAAATTCTATTTGCAACATTAAGAAAACATTCACCATTGACAAATTTATTAATGACCACAAAATAATTTCGGATGAAGCTCTAATGATCAAACAATATTGTACTAAAATATTTGATTGATTACTTAAGGATATCATGCACTTTAGATTGCCGTTCGACGATAAATCTGCAATGATGGGTGGTGATTTTGATAAATATTGCCTGATATTCTTAATGAAAGTCATGTTGAGATTGTAAACTCTTCTATATAAGTTCTTACTTCGTGGCAACATTACAAATTATTTAGTCTGACTAAAAATATGCGGCTTTCTTCCTCAATCAACTGTACCAATAATGCCAAGGTTGAACAATTCTCTAGTTGGCTTCTTGGTTTAGGAGATGGTAAACTAGGTTTACCAAATGATGGCATCATAGATATTAAAATCCTTCCCAAGCTCCTTATTACTGATTATAATGATCTTATCTTAGGAATTGTCAAGTCAACTTATCCAAATTTGCCACTAGAAATATTCTCATTACTTTATAGATAGGGCCACTCTTGCGTCCACAATTGAAATTGTCCTTATGTTGAATGACTTCATGTGCTTACTATTGCTAAGAGATTTTGTAAATTCCTTAAGTTCAGATGCCATTTTAAGGTCTACTCAAGATAGTGATTGCTTTGATGATCTCTATACAATAGAATTTCTTAATGCCATTATGTCTTTTGGCTTTCAACCTCACAAACTAACTCTCAAAGTCAGTGTTCCTGTTGTGCTTATACGTAATATAGACCAAGCAAACAGACTTTGTAATGGAACTTGCCTTTGACTTAAATTCTTAGGCAAACATGTCCTCAAGGCAATTACCTTGAACAGCTCAAATCCTGACCAAGTTCTTTTGCATTACATGGACCTGAATCCATGTGAACCTAGATTACCATTTGTCAATGAAGACAATGCCCAATCATTTATTTATTTATTTATTTTTTGCGCTATGACTGTGAACACCGTATCGGACATTTTTTTTAAATAATAATAAATAACCAAAATATATAAAAATATAAAAAAAATATAATAAACATAATAAAAAAAGAGAGCTATTAGGATTTCTAGGATTATATTTTCTTAAAAGAGTTATTATATTTTCTTTTTAGGATTATATTTTCAAAAATATTTGCTTAATCCAAAATCAATTTTTTTTAAGTCCCATAACCCAATTTTTGAAATTAATAAACATAATTAAAAAAAAGAGTTATTAAAAATTAAAATACATTGGGTCCTTCATGTACACGTTACAGAGTGGATAAAAAATACAAGGCTGGACGAAACATGGACCAACACAGCACACGAGAGAAACAAGAAATCTGCAAAAGCACACACATGCAACACAGAAAGGAGAACACACATGCACGTATACTTTCGGCCATGTAGCAGAAATAGAAGAAGCAGAAACAAAAACACGCAAGATTAGCTGGAAACAAAGACAGACACGATAGAAGCAGAGAAAGAAAGCAGAATGAGCACACATGGTCAAGCACCAAAGGGCAAAGTCAGAGGTAGCAAAGAAAGACAGTACTAGGAACACACACACGTAGCCAGAAAAGATGAGACTGGTGAAGGAAAAAGAAGAAAAATATAGATGCAGAGAGAAGAGGAAAGCCAAAGCAAACGGCAAGATCGGAGGAGACACGACAGAACCAAAAAGGAAGCACACATGCACAACCAGAGGAAGATGAGAGAAGCGCTGGAAAAGGAAAAAGGCTTAGACGCAGAGAAGAAGAAGAAAACCAGAGCAGCAAACCAGCACGCAACAGAGAAAGCCGAAGAGCAAGGGAAAAGCATACAGAAGATCAAAAACGTGTACAGAGATTAGAAAAGAAACAGAGATACGCACGCATGTAGGCTTTGGACGGGCAGAGAAAGCACCAATGATGGAAGAAGAAGCAACCCACACAACGAAAGAAGAGGAAAAGATGCACGCAATCGGAGAAAAAGGGATGGCAATTCGAGACCAAAGGAGAAATCGGTAAATCATTCTTCCTTACTACTCTATATAATGCCTACGATCGAAACAAGCAGGAGAGGGGAGAGTGCGTGTTTTCTAAAAAAAAGACTAGAGAGGAGGAATGGTTCTTGCTAGAGTGAGAAACTGAGAGAGAGGGCTGTTTTGGCTAAAAAAGAAATGAAAAAATAGAGAGAAAGAACTGCTCTTGCTGGAGAAAAAGAGAGAAACCAAGAGGCAATGATAATGAGCGTTTTCTGGGAATAAAAGAGACTGAGAGAGAAAGAGGAAGAGATTGAGAGAGACGAGTACAATCAGAGGGAGGAGTTTTGAAAAGAGGAGGCTGAGATCAACGAAGAAAAAATTAAAAGTGTACTTGCGATTTTCAGAGAGTGAAAGAGGAAGAGCCATTACACAGGTTTCATGATTTATTTGCATTTGGATCTGGAATGTTTCATAGTTGATTTCATTTCAGCTTGCTTGCAAATATCTGGGATTAATTGCTGCTCGTGAACACTGCAAAGGTTTTATATGTTGTTCTTATATGGCTTGGCTGTAGCAATTATTCTTCTTTGGTCATGAGTTTGGATCGATTAAATGGTTGAAAACATTTGATGTTCGTGTCTTATGTGAAACTTTTCAATTTAATTACCATATATGTGGCTCTAGATAGTAAAAAGTGATTTGAGTTTATTCTCTTTAAAAATCAAGTATGTGCTTGTTTTGCAACCATTCAAAAATTAATCTTTGTGATTAATCCTAAAAAAAAAATCACTTTATAATGTTTGACAATGATAGCTTCAATTAATATTGCTTATGTTGTTGGTAACTTATGGGGAAGGCATTTTTAAATTACACTTGGTTGTTTCTTAAGCTATAATTATAAAAATTGCTAGGTCATTTTAAATTAAAATTTAAATCTACATGAATGTAACCATGTATGTTTAATAGACATAGCTTCAAATGTCTCAAATAAAAATTGGTTGTGTGAAAATCGTATGGGTCTCCATGACTGATTAAAATGATTTCATACCATATAAATCAACAAGGTTTTACGGGCGTGACAATCAATCTTGTACATATTTATATGAGTTTCAAAGGCCCATCATTAATATTAACTCTCTTTTATAATCTAAATCAATAATTTATTTAAGTCCCCTGTGAGATTTCAAAAATCTTCGTAGAGACTTAAATTAATCACATTATCATATAGGATAATAAGTTCTCGCAGATATAGTGATTCTCAATATATATAATAAATGATATTTGTAAATAATCATATAATAAACAATTTAGAAAATTAATTAACCAAATTAATGTATTTAAATGGCAATCATATTTACCAATTATATCTTTCAGTCATGTGAGATTTTTGAATCTCCGTAGACTTATAAGATAATCGTATTATCGTATGAGTCAATAAGACTTTGCAGATATAATGATTAAGTTTTTAAAATATGTATAAATTATATATTAATATAATCACATTAAAAATGTATTTAAATTTGATTCCTTTACTGTGTGAGATTTTAGAATCTCCACAGATATTCAGGATAATCATATTACCATATAAGCTAATAAGGCTATGTAGGTATGATGATTAAAATTCTTCAAAACATGTATCTACATGCTAAAAAAAATTATTATCAATACTTAAAAATGTACATAAGATAAATAAATTAAATTATTAAATTTTTTTATCGTCTGAGATTTCAGAATCTGTGCAGATATTTAAAGCAATTGCATTATCGTATGAACCAATAAGGTTCTGCAGGTACTGCAATTAAAATTTTCAATCATAAAATATAAAGAAAAATAAGTTTAAACCCTTTTCTTTCTTTATTCCAAAAATTTAAAAATGGAGAAAATAATTAAAATTAAATTACCTTTTGCAATTTAAAACACAGATATCAAAATTTCAGAAATTATTTTATTTACAAAATGATGAATTATTTTTAATTAATTTCTCTTTAAAAAAAATATTTTCACCAACAAACTTTTAAGCCCGAACTACGTGGACTTTATCCCCATCACAAGGTATGTAGGCTTCAGAGTCAGATTTTGAGTCAAGTCCGTCCTTCCTCATAAATAAATAAATATTTCTCACCTAATTCTTATTATTTTTATCAAACACATGAATATAAAATGAATAATTAAAATAATTAAAAAAATTATATTAATAGAGCACAGCAAGCTTCAGGATAACCATTTTGCCAAATGGATGTTGTGAGGTACTTAACACCTTTCCTACACTCAATCGACTCCCGAACCTATTCTCTAATTTTGCAAACTAACCTTATCTTCCTTTTGATCAGTTTCACGAGATTTCCTTCAAAATCTTGATAGCGACTCCTCATTCGATTTGGTTTTTACCACGAGGCCAAGACCTCCGCTCGCGCACCGTCCACGTCGTATTTTTTTTGGGTGCGACAATGACAATTAACAAAGTCGAGACCAATCTGCTTTCAAATGTTAGCTTATACTTGTCAATTACGGTCCTTACGGATGGATAATTATATGCATCATTATTATGAGTTAAGAACATGGATGGACTAAAAATTCTCATTCATGACTCCAATAAAAAACCATGGTCCACTACTATCAATGTTATGTAAAGAGAAATTTTTCAGAATTTGAAAGCTACTTCTTAGTGACTTCATTGCATTATTTGCATTCATCTTCAATTATCAACCCATTCATAATACCAATCATTGCAATTTCCTTTTTCCACATGATTTAAGGCAGTAAAATCAACCTGTGCAATGCGCGGATTAAAATCTAGTTATGTTTTAATGGTAAATGATCAAAATATCATCTATTTTTTTTTAAAAAAAATTCACCCATCTAGCAATTGCCACTAGCTGCCTGAATAAAAATTGAAGAATTAAATTGAAATTATGTTTTAATGATAAATGATCAAAATACTTTTCATTCATAGATATTTATTTGTTAATTTACTAAGAAAATATTTTTGACAATGCATATTTAATTTTATTATTGATTTATTTTAACATGAAGTAGATTTGTTACAACCCTTTATATATAAGTAAAATGATAAAAAAAATCCCTCCAAATTATATAAATAACAATCTAATTTTTAAAATATTATAATTCTACTGAAATTCTTAGGGACCTCTGTGTCAATAAAATTTAAATTGAAAAGATAATTTTACTTTTATTAACAAGTTATAATTTCTTGTTCAAGTCTTACAATTTTTTGAATAAAAGCTATTATTCCTTAAATAAAAGTCGTAAATGAGATTTGTTATTTTGAGAGGTTATTTTTCAATGATTGAAATTACACTTGACATTTTGTGATTTTTGGTTCAACTCTTACAATTCACAGAACAAAAATTGTCATTCCTTAAACAAAAATTATAATTGGGGCTTATTTTTTAATAATAAAAATTACACTTGACAAGTTATGACTTTTTTGTTCAACTCTTGCGATTTACAGAATAAAAGTTGTTATTTTTTAAGCCAAAAATATGATTAGGAGCTTGTTATTTTTAATAAGGGTAAAATGATCTTTTCACTTTAAAATGTATTAATATAGAAGTCCCTAAAAATTTCAGTAAAATTATGACATTTTAAAGAACCAAATTATCATTTTTTTCCTTATATATATATATATATATTTTTTTTTTTCTATTAAAAAATGTAAGACATTTTTTAAAAAATTAAATGTTCAAAAATATAAGACATTTTTAGTCTTTCAAAGTGTAATAATTGCCTTTTTTTTTCTAAAAGTGTCCCTATTAATAATGACTTTATATTATTATAGAGTGCTTAATAGAGGAAAATATAAAAAGATAGAGTTAGTTAAAAAGCAGGTAACTACTTTATTGGAAATGAAATTAAATTAAAATGTCTTACATTTTTAAACGGAAGGAGTATGTATATATATAATACATAGTTAAAATCCTAACTTAATTTATCATTTTAGTAACCATTACTTATTAATTTTACTAATTTATTAAAGGGAAAATATATTTTTAGGCCCTTATAATTTCACTTAATTTTGAATTAGATCTTTATAATTTATTTTATTTTAATTGTGCCCTTATAGTTTGATCAATTAAAATTTTTAATCCTAAAAGTTAAAATCTTTAAATTTTTTCCTTTTAAAAAATAGAATTAAGAATTCTAATATTTTTATTAAATGATTATAAAACTATAAAATTAATTACATAATCTTTATAACTCAATTTATATAATTAAGTTGTCTTTTAAATATTCTTTATACATGTAGAATTTTCATAAAAAATTAATAAAAATTTAAACAATGTATTGAATCAAATTTTTTATTTTGACTAAAAGCATTAAATTAAATTTTCTGTAACAATTTCAATTTTGTTGCCTTGATATAATATAAAATAAATTTATTAAAAGTTTAATTTAACTTGTCATTTTAGCAATTTTTACTTGTCATTTTATTAAATTTATTGGTACAAAAATGCTTTTCTAAATTTATCAATATATCATAAAAATATAGAATCTAACATGCATGTGAATCTCCCGATCTAACATGAGCTTTCAAACAACCTGAAGCTTGCAAACTTAGTTTGTAACGGAGGGAGTAGCTCAAAATCATAAGCATTTATCTTTTATTAATAAAATAATTTTAAAAATATATAATTATAATATTAAAATATAGTATACAATAAATTAATGATCAATATATCATAAATTTTTTGTTATTGAAATATAAAATAAACAAGTTATAACGTAGAACCACCTAACATACAATAATATAAAATTGTAAATTCACAATACACTACCCCTCATAGTTAATGACTTTAATTACAAATAATATCTAAAAAATTTAATTAATATCCCATTATGTGATTTATAATAATGACAACAGATCCCTCCTAAATGGTACTTTATAATCAAATACTCTGTTTCACTTTTTCCCCCTTTCTTCTAATCCATTTTTTGCGTACCAATTGCAGCTTTGAGAGTAACTAAGCATAGTATCACTAGGTGAGCATTTAAAAAAAAATCTGGAATACTTTTTGCAACAAATAAACCATTTCAGTTCCCATGTTCCATCATCAAATGATGTCCACAGTTGCAGAGGATCAGAGTACCACAACATTTAAGAAACTATTTGGAATCAATCTTGTACGGCCAAACAGGGAGGAAAAAAAGAAAATGGAAGAGCAAGTTCCTAGCTATCTAGTAGCGTTATAGTACAATCAATCATAAACATGAAAATGAAAGCTCACGAGTAACAAATAACTTTTGGTACCTGGTATGGTTCAGTGGGAGGCAGAAATATACTATGCATATGCAAGTATGAGAAAACATGTGTTGTCCAAGGTGGAAGGAATGTCTAGTCTTTGGGGACATGCAGCAAAATTTATTTTTCAGGTAAGCATAAAGAGTAGACTCCGCCAACAATAGAGATTATCTCCTATGAGATACTGAAAGCAAACAGTAAACCTCTTCTAATTAAGTTGCTATATATGCAAGGGTTGGGATTTGAACTCCCAAACCACTTACTTAAATGACAAGAGTTTTTACCATTCACACTAACTTTAATTGGTGATATGCAATAATTTCATGATGCTTTGTTAGCTAAGAATTACAGGAAAGCCGTGGATGATCAAAACAGCCTCGAAGAGCAACTGTGCGTGTTGGGAACCTAATCCTTGCCCTTTTCTGACTCTGTCTCAATATGGACCTATGGTGTATCTAAAAGGAATGATTATGCCACAAAATCCAGGATAACAGATGCTGAAACAACTCAATCCTGTTGTAGAAGTTGAACTACGGCATCAAAGCTGAACTTCTGTCCAGGTTCAAAAGTTGTTTCAAGATCTTCAAAGCTCTGCTCAACTCTCAAATCTTTGCCAACTTTCAAATTCTCCTGAAACATTTTCCGCAAAAAGATTCAGAGAGAATGAGAAATGCTCCAGAAAAAACTATGCTATATTTTAATATTTTAATTGAATTGACAACTTGAGCATGTAACTTCTTGGTTGAAGATATGTAGTGACAAAATAATGAACTATTATATTGAACAACGGCAAAATACCTTTTCCACATATTCAGCTACGGTAGAGTTGACAATTTTCTTGATTACTTCCTTGAACACTTTGGAAGGTCCAAGCACCTCTAATAAAATGTCTTTTGGTATCTGTTAAACACAATTTACAACCTATAAAAATGAATTCATCTCCATTACATCAAGGACTTGTGGATTGAATCAAATTGCCTATTACAACCTCATGCAGGTCAGTTTCTCCACTGCTCTAGTAGTATCTCGGATTACATTTCATTTCACTTTTTCTTTGTGAGATTACTCAATGAAGTGGGATCCTTGAGTAGGCATTCGGGGTTTCATTGTAAGGAGAATGAAACTAGGCATTTAGGACTTGGTTTAAGTCTGTTTGTTATTGAGGCTAGCAAGAGCCTGTTTTGACTAATGCTCGAGTTATAGTAGAAAATTTCAAGAGCAAGTTTTAGGATTTGATGTAAGCCAAATAGTTACGCTGAATTAGGATAAACTGTGTGTTTTTACTCTGATACTTCAGCCTTTTTTATAGCTCTTGAGCAAGTTTTAGAATACCTAATTCAACCCCCTCCTCGTTGGATAATTGTCCTCTCTTTTAAATCTCTCCCTAAGCCCTTCCAAAACGTCCAAAAGATGTGAATGAAGGGGGAAGCACTATAACCATATATAGCCTTCTGATCATTTAAAGTACATGGAGGAAACTCCACTAAAGACCTAACATGCAGAACTCCATACAGATGCCAAACAAGCACACTTAACCCACAAGGATCCAAAGATAAATAAAAAAGCATGAAGCTTCCCTATCCAATCAAATACTGTGACAATTCCTTTCAATCGTGTGGAAAGATTTAATGTTTTTAAAAACCAAAACAATATTCTCAACAGTTCAAGCAACCAAGTACTGTTTCAAAAAAATGACATATATCAGATGGTGAAGCTTATGCTATCTGCTGGCTTGCAACAGATCAATTTGTCAGTCCAATTTGGTACCAAACACCAAATAAAATCTTTGCGTTAGAGGCAGCCACATAATTCCACATCGCAGTTGAGAAGGGGAAAGCACTGTTTTAATGGTAACAGGTAGGGAACTCACGAAAAATATGCAAAGGCCAGAAGCAACTAATTACCAAACCCTTTCACCTAATTCTCAGATAAACCGGGTGGAATTTTGGAGAGTCATGATTAGGAATAATTTAAGCATGCCGATCATTCATCAAGTTTCAAACAGGGTAGATGTCACCATATTCACAATTCCTAACTGGAACAATATCTGGAACTAGGGGTGGGATGCACCCAAAAGTAGAAAGTAGAAAGTGATATTCTTTAAGCCTCCCAAAAAGGAAAACAATTATTATGTTCAACTTTATATATCACCATAGAGGGAATGAGGCATAAAATTGTATTCTTGAGATTTTTGCGGTAACCCTCCAAGGGCCCATGTGATGGCAATATGTGGTGTCTTATACATTCTGCTGTTAATTTCAAATCCCCTAATACCAAAAAAGTAGCAGATCAAAGTTAATAACTCCATATAATTTCAAAAAATAAAAAAGTGATGTTCATAGGCATCATATTACCTAAACCAAATTATCCTCTTTCTAAGGCTTTAAACTAGAGTCCTAATTAACCAGATGAATTCTCTTACACTCAACCCACAAAGACCATAAAAATGTCTTGCATTAAGACATAATGTTCAATTCAACGTAGAACCCAACAAAAAATAGTCTTTGCCAGCAGTAAAATTTGACTTCAATGTCATGCAAACTACTTTAAAGAGTTGGGTAAAGATTTTTACCCTTTTCTTTAAAATGTAGCAAGCACCCCTTTGACATTGCACAAAAATGAAACCGTTTAACCTAATTAAATTTTGGAACTGGAGAGGAACTTTTGCAATTTCATTGCTAAGCTAAGTCGGGCATTGCCTTCACAGTCAAAAGCAAACAGCATCTTGCTGTTAATTTTAATTGAGATCCAACATTTTCATTTTAATCCAAAGAAGTCCATGTACGAATTTTAGCAATATGCTTACTCCATGGGTGAGTTCTTTCCCCTAAATAAGTATGCAGTTTATATATGTGTACGGTTAAAATGGGACAGGAAAACATTAAGCAGATTAATAGAGGAAAATACTTACATCTGGTGTTTTTCCTGGTCGTCCTCAAGTTGTTAGAGATGGAGTTGGTTAGCAAAAACATAAAACAAAGACAAAACAAAATATCAGCAAGTTGTAGATATAAGGAAGAGCAACATAGATTTGCCAAGAATAGCCCAAGTGATGATGAAGCCTTAAGAAAATATCCTTTTAGCCAACACACAATATTCATGAAAACAGTTTCTTCATCAAACTTTTTGTTTTACCTTTTGCTTAATCAAATATTATTCCACCTAAAGGATGCGTAGAGACAAGTTCCACAAACACAATGGCAGAAAGCTATCTTTGCATGTCTTTCATATCATTATAATTTTACAAGAGACTTCATACTTTCAGCACATCGCTTCAATGCCCAGCAACGATATCATGCTATCACTAGTTTATTGAAGGGGCTAGCGGTTCTGACACTGAAAGAGATGCTACCTAACACAGTATAACAGAAATAAAAGGTGAACTTGCTATAAGGAGCATCTAAACTAACAGCATCAACAAGTATAAGCCTTCTTACGTCTCTGGAGGATTATAAATTCTCTGAAACAAACAGAAGCAAGTGTGTTTTTGGCCATTAACACAAGCAAGTGTTCAACACCACAAATTAACACTGATACACAAAGAACATGATCACCACCAACATTCATGACAAATGCAAAATTATGAGTTTGTTATCAAATTTCTACATAACAGTGCAATCCTGATACATTGAAAATCCACACTATTCGTCAAATTTAGATCCCCCAATGAATCAGAACTGCTCACCTCCTTTTACTCTTCGAAACCCTGGAATTGGCTGGGCTGCAGCAACCATTTTGTCAAAGACATCATCAAAGATACTTTGAGTTTTGGTACCAGATACCTCTATGCTTATCTGAAAAGTGAAGTTAGAAGATAAACAGTGCAAAATACTCAAGATTTATGTGCACGATACCATCATGATCATGTAAACACAAAAAAATGAACTATATCATAGTATTGGCAACATAGCATGGAATTTCTTGACTCTCATGGTTGATTCAGTAGGGAAAAAGGAATATATATAATCGTTTCAACTGCATTTTTATCATCAAAACACATCCTCACCCAAAGGCACAGTTCATTCTTGTGAGAAATTCATGATCTTGCATAACCTAAATCACAAGTAGACTGTATAGGATACCTTTAGCTCTCCAACATCATTGATATTGGTAGAACAGATAGAGAACTCCTCAAAAGCAGAAGCAATTTGAGAGTCTGCATCAAGAAAAGCTATCAATATATGAGATATGGGCTGGGATAGAAATAAGCTCATTACCTGAAAAGTCTCAAAAGATAAACTTGCACCTGAGTGGAGAACTACAGTAGGACGATATATACTCTCCTTCCTGTAAAAAAGAAATGCATGTTTCATAATGACTGTCTAAATCGTTCATATAGTGCTACAAAGCACGTGCATAGATGCTAAATTAGAATTACTTAAGTTGAAGCAATCAAGAAAAGATTTTACTGCAGTTGCTTGAACAAATTATACAAGAAGCTCCCTCAAGATAGTGATAATAGTGAGTGAGTAAACAAAGAATGCTGGTAACATCATGTGAAGGCATTTCAACACTGCAATGCCTCCAAGCATTTTTAGTCTAAATGTGCCAAAAATTATATTACTCTTTATATTAATCAAAGGCACATGCATGCACTCAAACAACTATGTAATTCAAAATACAATTCATCGTGCAACGGTGCCTTTTGAAAAGATCTCCTGCATTATGTCTACACTGGCGTGAGAGGCACAAACTTCTACAATTCAGGCTAGGCATAACAAACTCCTCTACTCCCTGCTTGTATCTGGTCATCTGCAGAAAATTATGCAAATTACTGAAGGAAAAGCAACAAAACATCATCACTGGAGGGGAAAAGAGAAACCAAAAAGAAACTAAAACAATAATAAATAAACAGGGTTACCTGAGGCGCCAGATTTAAGATGAAGGTTTGAGATGATATGTTCATTGTCTTAATTTTCACCCCAATGTGGTTCTGATCAGAACTAGAGTTTTCCTTTTGGCCAAGGGCTTAGCCTCTTTCAATCTCTACCACTGACATCCAAACCCTGTGCCATAAGAATTTTGAGGGGCTTAAGAATCTTCCAATTTTTCTTCAAGCTGTAATACAAGACGTATTCATACACCTAAAACAGAATAATGATAAGAAAAATGCAATAGCCTATGCATCAATTTGGACACACGGCATATTCAAATAATGATTCCATTTGACATTGATTCTTTGGTTGGATATATTCCATTTTCACTTTTCCAAAATAATAATGATGATGATGATGATTCCGTTTTCTAAGCCACTAGAGGAAATCTGAACATTTCTATTTCTTAGGACGCACATACGCAAATCACCAGTATGACAAAGCATAGTATCATCTCATTAATTAACTCAAGAAGCGCCGAGACAGGAGAGGAAATGAGTTGCATCACCCATATTGCAGCCCCAGTGAATCCGAATATACAGAGGTCAATTTCTCACCTACTTAACATGCATAACCCACTTTTCTTTGGCTTCAATTCTTTCGTTACAACAACACAAACAAAAATAATAACGATAACTCGGTAATTAAATTTTATAATTTCCTAGCTCAAAGCCTCCAAGACATCTCTACTACGCTAGAATAGTTTACATTTCCAACCCTTTTGGCTTCCGCTAGAAAATTATCATTTATGCATCACTTTCGGGGCAGCTCTCTCACTCTCTCTCCTCTGCTCATTATGAAACGGATAAGGAAGAAATTGTTCACCTTTGACAAGCTGAAACTGGAATGAATGGCGGCGGAGAATGCTGGAAGGTGCAGCTTACCACGGACGTCAATTTTCACTGTTCTGTATTTTATAAATGTTTTTTTCCCCAATTATTTTGGAAAAATGAAAAAAAAAACTTTGAAGGTAAAAAAAAAAAAAAGTTTTGTACACTAAATTTTAAACATAATTTAAAATAAAATTTCTTATTTCTTAAGTAATGATTAAAAGTAATAGTTGACGCAAGAAATATGATATTATTCTTATAATATACTCCTGTATTCTGGTAGTTATAAAAAATGTATATTCTTTGTAAAAAAGAAAATATGATTCTAATTAATATAATAAATTTATAATCAATTATTAATTCAATTATAATTAGAACAAATTTTTCATTCCTTGAATTCAATTATAATTATAAGTAATGCAGTGTGCCCCAAAATTTAATTTGTATCATATATTTAAAAGAATTTTTTTTTTTGAATTTATTGTACTCTCTAGTGCAAAAGAAACAGTTTTTTTTAAAAAAAAAATGCATACCAATAAAATCTTCATTTCTATAAAAATATATATTGCTTTTCTCTTTTAACTCCTAATCCCAATTATCAATGCACTTTATGATGAATAACAAATATATTCACACAAATATTTAAATTAATAAATACAATGGGTAAAATGAAAAAAAAAATTATATGTATTAAGTCCTTTTATTTTGAACGAAATCCCTATCCAAAAAAATCATTAATATAATTCTCCCAAAAAATCATTAAAATAATACCAAATGTAGAGAACAAGTAATGAATAGGAGCGATCAATAGAGAGATTGTGCGCAGACGAGAAGTGCCAATTTTGAACATTTGTGAGCTAATTAACTAGAGAAAAATGGGTAAAGGAGCAAGGGTAGGAAAGGGGAAGAGGAAGAGAGCTGCAGCCCACCATCCATTTCTACTTCAGAAAGCTTCACGAAGAATATCACATCATAAAAATGGTGAAAAGGAAAATATATATTAGCTTTGTCATGTTACTTAGGGCCAATTATATGGATTGTGTGACAATACTGTATTCAATTAACAATCTGTTTGCATAAATAAAATAAGCATAAATAAAATAGGATCTATGACCATCACTCGTGTTGCAAGATTGCCCAGTAATACAACCTCTTGCATTCAAAAATTATTACTGATTGATCAATGACTCATAATAATCAAAATCTTCAGGGGGGGAATCCTTGAAACCAAAAAAAAAAAAGGATATTTAATGCCATGGCCATTAAATAAGAAGCACAACCTTTTCATCTATTATGCTTCCCTCAAGTCATTGATGAAATCTAAATGTGTTCCTATTCTAACTATAGGAACTAATATCCTCTCTTGGTTCAAAAAATAGTTGCAGAAAAGTTTTGTCCTGCCATTTTCATTGGTAATTTATGTATATGAAAGTCAAAAATCAGCTATGAAGCATTATCCCTAATGGAAAAGGAAGCTTTTAACTTGTCAGCAAGAAGTGGCAGCATTTTAATGCCATCCTGGATCGACTGATCAGCACATGAAACCAAATCATTCATAGCTCCTGGTTTCTTCTGCATCTTAGCTGTCTCATACTTATCTTGGCACACCATCAGAGACCTATTCAACTTCTCCTGCAGTCAGTTCAAGTATACGATGGTCAGATCAACGAGAAAAGCCATCAATTACCAAAATAGTTCCAGCAAGTAAAGATGTTGGTTAAAGTTCATTTTTGCCACTGAACTATTTTCATAAGAATGCCCAATGTTCTAAACTCTTTGTCATAGCAATGCTACCTTTGAAGTAATTAAATTGTAGCGATGTTGTTCTTAAAGTTAAATGGGCAAACACTGACAGTTAATTTTATTGACTCAGAAATAACTTTGATTCAAATCGTACAACGTTGCATTTAAAGTAATGAAATCATACCAATATTGCCCTAAAAGTAATTAAATCATAACAATGCTGTCCCTAACATTAAGTCTAAGTCAGCAAAGTTAAAGTTAACATTTGCCCATTTAATGTCAGGGCTAACATTACTGCAATTTAATTACTTCAAAGGCGACATCAAACCAATCACTGCTCATTGCTTTTTAGACATTTGATCCCCAAAATACTGTAGTAGATGGAAAGACAAATCCTTGTCACTATATTGGCTGTAGGATATCTTTTCAATTCAAGGGAAAATGTAATCTTTCACGATAGAGGGAGGATTTAAACTATATTTTCAGGCATTCTCAAGGAAAACAACCAGCAGAAGAAATGACATTATTGACAACCAGAACTAGTCATAAAATTAGGATACATGCAAAAGAAGAGGAGCATTAACAAATTAAGACGAAGTCCAAGGTGGTAGGTTAGCTAGGAACCATCCATAGGATTGCAAAACTTTATTGCATCAATTAGTTTTGAATTTGTACTCTCTTTTAGTGTTTTTCAGCTAGGACATTATTATCCTTACTATTTACTGGCACACATTGTTTCCTCTCTTTCACATGGTTTGCTCTTTCACTAATTAACATTATGTAATTGAACAACATTACATTTTATGCAATATCCTACAAATTAAACACTTTCGTTTTAAGACAATTACTATATTACAAAAATGTAGAGAAGCTAAAATAGATATTTTTTACCTGAAATTCCTCTGTAGCTCTAATAGATAATTAAGTAATCAACAGAGGAGAAATAATATGATTGCAGATCTGTAAGGTGGAAAACTTACTTGAAACATTGCCATCTCATTATCAAACTTCTGTTGAGCATTTGAAAGAGGGATACTGCAATTCTCAACACATCTGGTTATTTCTTCCTGCTTTTTGCTTCTGTCAAAACACTCATAAGCACATCTGAAGTAGGCCTTCTGCAATCATCATCGAAACAATCAACCGTGATAAATTAAAATCTAGCAATTTAAAGAAAAAGAGCCACCAAGTTTTCGACTTCTTGCAAAAGTAATGACATAATGCATACAAAATATTTCATTTGATCCATATTTTTACACCATTAGATAAAAAATTAAAAATCCCCCAACAAGCAATATTTATATGACCTAGCTAGAAGTACAAAATTCTATCACTATTCAGTATTTACAAGGATCTATAAATTTGAACTAGAAACAAAAGGGAGGAAATAAGTTGGGGGGAAAATTTCAGCTACCCAAATAGGGTTTTAGTTTCCAAGTCCTAATGTCCATTTACTTTCTAGTCATCAAGCCAAAAAATCTTCCATTCTTACCAGGAAAGATAAAAGAGCCAGTAAAATTGACATAAAATACAAATGAGAATGACTGAAAGGGATAGAAAGGAACCTGAAGGGTAAAATTGACATGGTCTTGGATAGGGGCTAGATGAGCTTGAGCAGCTACATTCACTTCATTGAGTTTCTGCTGCAATCGCTGTGAAGCAATTTGCTCTTCAGCGGCTGCCAAGTGATCCATCTGTTTCTCACAGTTTATCTGATTTAATGTTTGATATTCGACCAAAAACTCCAAACACCAATATTTTCTTTTCTACGATGTTTATGCGCAGCCAACCTGTGTACCTGAACTTCAATACAATTAACCAGTGAGTTGAGCCCATTGCAAAAAAAAAAAAATATATATTGAGGCAAAACAAATACACGGGAAAGAGCGTCAGCTTTAACGAACCATTATCGAAAATGTTTTCTCTAAAACCCATTTTTTTCCCATAGAAACAAACAGACTCGTAACCTTATTCAGTTCAATAATCAACAAAGACAACAAATTAAGCAAGAACCCACTTCAGAAATTCCCGCAGGAAAAATGCATAAAGAGAGAATTTGAGTCTTGAGAGAGAGAAGAAAGAAAGAAAGAAGCAAAATACATTTCAATCAAATATTTACCTGCCAGTGCTTACAAACGCGCCGCTGCTTCCTAATGTAACTATTTCGAAGCTCTCAGTCCATGGAAGCAATTTGAAAAACCCGCGACAGCTGCCTCTTCCTCCCTCCTCTCCGATGTTGAAGGGCCGGCTAGGTTAGTTCGTATCGAAGGTTGGTTTACAACAATGTTTCGGGCTTGGATCATTTTTCGTTGGGCCATTAGACTTCGGTGCTTAGCAGTAGCTCCTTTCAAAATAATGAATAAGGTTCGAATTATTACTGAAAAAAGTATTCACATTTAAAATTAAATAATATTTTACATTGAATTACCTCTAATAAAAAATACACGTGGGTAACCAGTAGAAAAGGAAGTGACTCGAAATCCATGGAGATATCTGGAAGCTAATGAATGGGCCAAATTGAAAATAAAACATAGAATGAGGGGGGTTAAAAAAAACAAAATGTGAAGTGGGGGCCAAACTCTCTTTTAAAAACCTTCATAAACAAAGTTTCTAATTGTTGCCAAAGAGCATTTAAGTGTGGGAGAAGCACCCATCCTTGTCTCCTTTGGATCCTCAAACCAATGGGTGCAAGTCTCAATAAAAGAGATAATAATCACTTAAGTAAGAGATCTTGAGTTTGAATCCATATGAAGCAAGTGACGTGGCATGCAAATTAAAGGATAATAGTCAAACAAGTATAGATAATAATCAATGTAAGCTTTCTATAATAACAGGACAAAATTATTCCATTTTAAAAAACATCAAGATAATATTATACCTTTAAATATTTTAAAATATTAATTGCACTTTTGAAAAAACATCAGGAATAAATTTATACTTCAATTATATATTTAATATATTTTTATTCAATTAAATCAATACTAATGAATTTAAGAGTATTAATAATATTTATAAAAAAATTCAGTTATAAGGAAAATAAAATATAAAAAAAATCAACTTCTTTAATTTAATTGGAAGCATATTAAATATAATTTCCTTAAATTTATTTTACTGACCAATTAATCCTTCAAACTTTATTTTGTAAAAAATAATCCCCCCAGACTTAAATTATATGTAGATAATCTTCCTTAAGTTTTAAGTCATGCAAAATAAACCTCATAATACTATACAATTTTAGGAAAATAACCAACAAATTATCGACAGGAGTTTATTTGCATAAATATAGAAAGAGTTAATGAAGGGTATTCCTGGTGGAAAAAAAAAAAGTTACTGGTTCATTGTCTCCTTTTTTTCCCCTTATAAAAAGGACCACCACAAACTTAAAATTTTCCCTTATATGAGATAGTATCTATGTAAATAAGCCCTGCCTTAATGCCATAAATAACCCTGTAATCAAGCAAGACATATAATAAGATAACCATAAAATCAGATACGCTTATGGTCCTTCTCATATGGTCTGAAATTCTGTAACAATCCAAAGTTTAAAAAGTTAACAGTTTAATAAACCTAAACTATATCAGATTCATCTTTCACCCCTCCAGAAAATTCATCAGCAATTACAGGATAAAAGCTTTAAGTTTCAATCTTCCTTATTAGTAAGAACAAGGTCTGATCCATCGCAAATTTGAGACAGTTCGAAGCATGGCCCCTCAGCATCATCTGTAGCCCACCAAAAGATACATAGACCTCACTGGAGAAAGACAGAAACTAAATCAGAAAATCAAACAAGTTCATATTTACATGTAAGTTCAATAACTTCATGATTGGATAAATGGAAACTCACAGATAAACAAATCAATAGACAAAGAAAAAGGGAATTCCATTGATGATGATACAACTTTGGAAATATCTTTTGCTGTTGTATCATAAAGAAACTAAAACAAGCAATAGAAAAGCATAATTGCAAAAATGCAACAAAATCAGTGAAGTTACAGATCAAATTGAAATAGAATATCCAGCCCCTAGGTGATGGGTTTTACTCCCTCAATTCCATCTTATAAGACATTTTTGAAAGTGGCTTGATGTCTAAAAATATAAGATATTTTAAATAAAAAAATATTTCATTAATGATGATTATTCCAATATTACCCCTCATTATTTCACTCATTACATAAATTTCCTTCTCTCTCTCTCTTCTATTGATGAAGGATATTTTTAGAAGTTTATAAAAAATGAAGATTGGAAATTATATTTAATAAACATCATTGGTTTGTGTAATGTTGTCAAAAAATGCCTTATAAATTAGAATGGAGGGAGTATTGAACAAAAAAAAAATGAAAATGGGATGTGAAGCTAAGGGAAAGGAATTTAGTACGTACACTTCGTGTTCATCTTTGGAACCTTCTTTTGTGATGTTATATAACCTTCCATGCATGATGTATTCAAACTTGTCTTGAATGGACACTTTGCCATCCTGGAGAAATGATCAATTCAGTAGAAAAAAAATTTGGCCTTTTTTTGGAGGCACAAAACAAAACGATTCCTAAACTCACTAAAACAATTTTCTCATCAACTAAAAGATGGCAGCAAGATGTTGTCATCATAAAAAAATTCTAATCCATTACAGGTCATATAATTCTTAGTTCAGCCTTCAAAATAAACGCATTAACAAATTACAAGCATTAGTGTGAGCAAAGAAGGTAGCTGTAAGCAATGGCATGCAATAAATTGCCGCATTTTTAGTGATCTATTCAACTAGATAAGAAGTAACTAGAGTTGAAAATGGCAGAGAATGAGGATATCATCCACTTTCTCACAAGGTACATCAACAATATTTATCTGAAACAACCATGTAGAATGTTCTCCTGGCTGGCCGTACAATGCAAGAAGTCATCAGAGTGATATGATTCTTCTGAAGTCTCAGTTTCTCACATCCAATTAAACTATGAGTGCTAGAAGTAGGCAATAAGCAACCGCTAGCTCTGATCACTTCTTTCATCTCATTCAAAAATCAGTACATAATGATGAGAGGCAACATTTTATAGGTCATCAACTTCAACAGTTATTTACTGTACTGGGGCAGTTTGATAACTCAGTATACTGGAGCTGACTAATTATCTATGACCATATATTTGAAGCTTGGACCACTGAAAACTTCCAGAAATTACGGTTTTGCACTTTAGTATTTACTCCTCTTTGTCACCTCTCATTAGCTCACTGCTTCTGAAATTGTTGTTTTTCCATTTTTCCCCCTCAAAAAAACAAAGATCTAAGGGAGACCGAATGACTGTGTTAAACTTTGTATGAATTAGTTGTTCCACGAGGATGAACCAATCAGTTTCTTTTCTCCCCATGAGTTCACTGCATTTTACTAGAGAAAGTTATTATTGAACATCCAACTTCGAAAAATTTCAAATGGCAGAACCCTTTTATTCTCATTTGATTAGACGCTTCATTGTTCAAATATTCTCCGCAAAAGATGCAGAAAAAACTCGTAGGCAGAAGTTTTTCTAATTCAATGCATCAACATTAATTAAAAAAACATCCAGGCCCACACAACACAGGTTGGCAAATGCAGAACAGATAAAACTCAATCAGAAAGAAAAGGTACAAATATAAGTTATATAAATGAGCAAGAAAGAGATTGCATGGATACATAGCAAGGAAAAAAGTAGACATATGCGAGAAGAGAGCTAGGTTCACCTTTGTACTTAAAACCAGTGAGGGAGACAGAACCATCAAGAATCTTTCATTTTTGTTCAGCGGATAAAGCTCTGTATTTACATCCAGAAGCATGTACATGTCACGCTTCTCACTTTTTGCCACAATCCGAGACACTAAAAGAAAGAAGTCATGAAAAATATGAAGGTCAGGCCCATTAAACGGCTTATATGTATAACATGAACGTAAGGAGAAAACACAAGAAAATAAACAAACATGCATTTGGATATAGGGCTACATATCATAAAAATACTATAAGGTTGGTATGTCAAAATCCTTAAAGACTCGATATATATTGGAATTGAGATTATAATTGAGTTGCAAAGCAACTTTAATAAACATCAATATGCATATTTCATTGCATAATTTATCTCATGATAAATTACTAAACCTTGGTGTTGGTCAAAACTCATAACCACTTTAGAATTTCTTGGATTTTGAATTTCATTATATAATTTTCCATTATAGCGAGCAAAAATGACAATCCTCTGACCTCTTTCACCTTATATTACTCCTGCTCTGTATTTGTTCTGTTATTCATGGGTCAGGATTTGTCATTGAATAGATCCTTATAATTCAATCCTTACATCCATCAGAAACTGATTATTGAAAGTGATAACAGTATCATTCAACTGTTAATTAAAATTTTACAGGAAACCTCCTTTGGATAGTCTGTCTTACAGCTCAAACCTGAACAGGAGAACATTTTTTTTCTTGAAATCATTTTATTAGACACGGCCACAGAAGAAATAGCATTGCTTAGTCTTCACTAGTTTCTTCTTTACCAATGACATATATTTACTAACAGTTAACTTCCATTAGGTCCTAAAGTATTTTTTGCAATATGTCACCAAATGCAAACCAAATCAAGAGAGAATTAGTAAAGATAAGTCATAAGTCATAACACACAATTAAACGCTGACAGCTAACAAATATAACCAAATTTTTTTATAGAACGTAAGCAAAAACAACCAGACCCAAAAAAGTGTCATATAAACCCAACATACTGTAATTAAAACAGAAACAACCTTCCACTCATGAGGTTCAAAATCAAAGTACCTGACTGAGTGCAATGAATTGGGTAGAGAGAGAGTTAAGCATTACAATTGAACTGAACTAAGGAATTGGGTTCCAAGAAGCATACCTTTATCATACTTTTTACCATCTGGATCTACATCCTCAACCTTGAAAATGTCATCAAATAGAAACTCACTCATCTTCCAACAGCAATTTATGTCCAACTGATCACACAAGCTCTAAGAACAAGACCTGCAAAGAATTTAACACGTTAGAACAGATGAACCATAAACAAAAGGGCAATATATTATAACCTACTAAAACTTTTTTGCATAAAGAAGATAGACCAGGTTAGGTTTAGTAAAATTCCATAACGGCTTAAAGCTCCACCCACCCAATCATTACAACCTGTCTTGGCTTGATGGCTTGCAATGACATTATGAATATATTTTTTTTTTTTTGACATTATGGTACAATTTTTTTTTTATTTGATACCTCATAGATGCATATGAATAAATTGTTTTTACCACTTGATAGCAGATTTATGCTGAATTTTACTAACACCTTTGTGTGAAAAATAATTTTAATGAGAAAATCAATAATTATTCCGGAAAAATAGTAACCCATATATGTTAAGAAATCAGATTTTGTGCAAACATCTTTCTAAATTTGCTGCTAGATAAAACAGATGCTCGGCCCTTACAAATCACATCAGATGATCCTCATACCAACAAAATTTGTATCTTAAGCAAGTATGACAGGGTAATTTCTAAAATACAGTATATTTATGGTCTCAATTACTGTAGACAAGTCCTGAAAAGATTCAATCTTTTACACACCCATATATTCAGGCTATAGGACAGTATAGGTCCTGAAAAAAATATTGTACAATCATGTCAAAAGGGAATAGTTATAATCCATAGCAAGAAATCATGTCAACATAGTTGGAATGGTTGGGTGGGTCGAGTTTCAATTCAAACCATGGAAATTTTACTCAACCTGACCTAGCGTATCTTCTTCCTTATTTTGATAACAAATCAAGGGGAACATAATCAACCAAACACCATGTGGGAAAGGACACTAATATTAACAACATACCATATTTCATAATATTTACTTCTACAATATGAGAGATTACTGAATGACTCGAAAACCACAAAAGCATAGTCCCTTTTCGTTTTCCTTTCCTCACAGTTTCGCAATATTAAAATCACACCTTAACGAACAATCTCCGATTCTCCTAGAACAGAAAGAAGTCATTTTGCTTCAGGAAATAAACTACTCTGCTTTTATGAGTGTCAGTTGATAGAAAGTTACAATAATTTGAAGAAGGAAAGAATCAGAGTTTAGAGTCATACGACCTTACAGAGAGTGTGGAGAAGAAAACGTTCCTCACCTTCAGCCTCGACGGTGGGTGAACACTTGAACAGAGCTTCGGCTTCGCTCAGCTGAGCGAGAGGGAAGATAGCCAGTCAGAGTCCGTCAGTCGAGAGAGGAAGAGAGAACTGACGGAGACAGTGGTAGCGGCCAGTGGCTTGTCTTGTGAGAGCAGACGGCACAGTTTCGGCTTCGCAGGCCGACGAGGGCAACAAAACAAGAAAGGAGTGAGAGAGCGGAAAAAATAAATAAATAAATATTAGAAAGAATTGTATCAAAGTGTTACATAAAAAAATGAATCACTGTAAAATTTATTAACAATTAAATTAAAATACAATGACGATTTAATTGTAATTCTTCCTATATATTAAGGGGGAAATCAGAAACGTAAACTCATTTAAAGGTCATATAAAATTTGTGTGAATATCTTTCAAATCCCAAATATTTTATGCATAAGTGAATAGAAACATCAGAGGTATGTTTGATTAGAAAAAAAAAATTTATATTATTTTATTTAATTTTGTCAGAGAAAAAGGAAAGGATTTTTAATAAATTTTTATTTGGTTCAAAAGGGAAGAAAAGAGAATGTAATAATTAAATTATTATTATACTTTTATATAAAAATATTTTCATTTTTTTAACTTTTTATCATGCAAATCAATTTTACATCTAAATTCAAATCATATAATTTTTTGTAAAAAAAATGCACCTTAATCTTATCAATTTTTTTTAACTTCTTTTCTCCAAATAAGTGACACTTTCATTAATAATTATATAAAACAATTAATGTCTTGGGTAAAAATTTTCATAAGAAAGAATTATATATGTTAATCATTAATAATAAATTCATTTTCCTTTGTCAAAGAATCACACATTAAACATTTAATTCTTTGATACAAAAAAATTATCTGAATATTCATTGAAAGAGGCTGCTTGTCAAGGAAATTGAAATAACAATATTAACATTAATTTTTTTACATAAATATTAAGATTAGTAGTTGTCATCATTCTATGCTCAAGAGTATTTAACATATTGAACATATAACAAAATATTCAAAAGCCATTAATAATGCTCAAGAATCATATTTTGAGCATCTAAGTAACAAAATATAGAAAAGTTATCATCTAATTAAAATTATAGAACATTCTCATTATCGCTTTCTTTCGTACTGAAGCTTGACATTGAAACTTTGAAAAATGCTTGAAAAGTGTGGGTGTGATACTGCAAGATTACCTTACATATATTGGTTCCTTTTGGCCGATAATGGTAGGCTTAAGGTAGCAATTCAATGTTCAACTTCAATACGGAAGGAAGCAATAATGAAGATGTTCTATAGTTCTAATTAAATAATGACTTTTATTGATAACTTTTCTATATTTTGTTGCCTAAATGTTTAAAATGTAGTTCTTGAGCATTATTAATTACTTTTGAATATTTTGTTATATGTTCAATATGTTATACACTCTTGAGCATAGAATGATGATAATTATTGATCTTAATATTTATGTAAAAAAATTGATATTAATATTGTTATTTCAATTTTCTTGGTAGGAAATATCTTTTAATGAATATTAGGATGATTTTTTTGGATCAAAGAATTAAATGTTTAATGTGTGATTCTTTGATAGAGAAAAAAGAATTTATTATTAATGACTAACATATATAATTATTTCTTATGAAAAATTTTACCCAAAACATTAATTGTTTTATATAATTATTAATGAAATTGTCATCTATATAGGGAAAAGAAGTTAAAAAAAATTGATAAAATTAGGGTGCTTTTTTAAAAAAAAATTATACAATTTGAATTTAAATATAAAATTGATTTGTATGATAAAAAGTTAAAAAAATGAAAATCTTTTTATATAAAGGTATAATGGTAATTTAATTATTACCTCCCATTTCCTCTTTTCTTAAACTAAATAAAAGATCATTAAAAACCCTTCTCCTTTAATAAAATCAAATAAAATAACTTAAAAACCCTCCTCTCCTCTTCCTTCAAACCAAACACACCTAAGAAGTTTCATAAAAGGAATTTGATTTCTAACAAATTCCATGAAATGCAAAAATAATTTTAGAATCTCATGAGACTTACTTATAAATAAATTTTGAAGTATATTTATCAAAACATCCTTACCAAAATGACCATGAGGGTAGAATTTTTTTATTTGTTAAGAATATTTTGATAAATGTACACCAAAACCTATTTATAATTACGGCTTGAGAGATTTAAGAATTATTTTGACATTTTCATGAGACTTTTTAAAAATTAATTTAACTACTCGAGAACACTTTAAAACTTTATCATATTCAAACTATTTATAAATTACCACCTGTTATTCATCTCGATTCATAAACAATTACTCTCACAAAATTTCAAGATAAATTCTTTCAATAGTCACATGATGTTCACACAAACACATGCTCATTTATTTATCTATATCTAATAATATAAAAATAAGTGACTCAAACACTAAACTCAACTATGTTTAATTTAGTAAGGTTTAACAGCTCTTTCTAATAAAAATTTTCACCCAAACATCTTGACAATCACCTTACATGCCAAACAAAATAAGGCAATAAAATAAACTTCTTACTTTCTCAATCCTCTATTCAAAACCACATATGCAAAACAACAAATCTTCACATAGGCTATTAATTCTTAAATCCTCTAATTTATAGCCAGAATTTAGATTTGAAAAAGAAGGGGGAAAACCAGACTTTATTGTTTAGCCTTTCATCAAGACACAATCGAAAAGTGTAAGAATAATACTTTCTCCATCCTAAATTATAAAACACTTTTATAGGAGATTAAACGTTTTAAAATATAAGACACTTTAATAAAAATAAGGTTTCATTAATTATACCTTTTTAATATTACCCTTCTTATATATTCTCTCTCTTATTTATTCTTTTAGCAATAAAGTATTAAATGAAGAGTATTTTTAAAAGTTTATATTTTTATTTTAAAAAATAAAATTATAAAGTATATTTAATGAAATTTATTAATATGCTAAAACTAAAATGGAATAGGGAAGATAACTTATATATGATGTGCGCGTGTCGTCGTGCTATTTTTATTTGTTGTTTTTTTTGTAATATACCTTATGGCATTTCAGTAATTTCATGGCTTCAAAATGTAAAATTTCTTTGATTTCAAGAAGATTCGAATCCAAAGCCTTGCAGTAGATTGCACACGAGATTCTCACTATGCCACAAATTCGTGTTATTCTCCAAAACTTTTAAATAAAATACACTTAAAATTTTTAATCATAAATTTTAATTATACTGAAATTCCTGCGTGTTTTTTTTATACAATTTAAGTCAAAATACCAAAAAGGAAAATTAATTGTTTTATCTTTTTTTTTTGAATTTAAACTAACTTCTCAAGGCTAAAACAAAATTTGTTGCATAGTTTAATATTCTTAGATATTCCAATCATTACAATAAGAGTATCTAGTACTTTTTTCAAAAAACTCCCGACTATTTTTTTCCCCTTAACCTTTAATTATTAGATAGATTAGATGTTACTATCACCACAGATGTTATTAGATTAGATGCTGCATATTAGATTGGATGATTATTTACCTTTGCTGCTCTCATAATTTAGTTGTAATAATTAATGCTTACCTTAAGCCAAGAAATTTCAGGTGAGACATTGTGTAATATTTTTTGTTAAAGTATTAGAAGTTTGAAATATACATAAAACTTTTGGCTAAAAAAAAAAAACACACACACACACAGATCTAGATGCGGACCTCCTAGCAGAAGATGGCAAATCTTCCCATACTTTTTTTTTATTTGAAAAAACATATAATTAAATCCTTACACTTTAATTGAGTTTTATTATAGATTACTATACTTTTTTTTGCTATTCTAGATCTCTACATTTTTATTTTTTAATGTTATAAATCTCTATAATACCATTTATTAAGGGGCTTATAACACCAAAATATAAAAAAGTAAAGAACTAGAACAACAACAACAAAAATATAGGAATTTATAATAAAATTTGAGTAAAGACGTAAAAGTATATTTTTTCTTTTCTATTTGCTACTTTAGCTTATTAAATCTATTAAAGGTTTTTATGAACACGCTCATATATCAAATATGATTACTTTCAATAAATAAACACTTACATATTTTTTTTTTTTTTAAAAAGCTCATACAAACATTCATGGATTGTTGTTGGGATCGTGAGAATCCCCGGTCAAGTGTGCGAAACCATTATTGTACACATTTTAAAATTTTAATTCCATGTTTTGTCTATTCTTCTCATATTTAAGAAATGTTACATATAGTAATGTTTATTCTTTCACTTTATTCTTGCATATGAAAAAAGAAACCATACATAGGCCAAAAAATTATTTCTTCCTTTAACTATCTTTCCTTTTTTTCCTTTTTTTCCCCCCAGTTTTTCTCCTCCTGCTTTCTTCCCTTTCACTTGATGAAATATTTTTTTCCTCACTGAAACTCTTGAGTACATACTATCAAGAAAATGCATTTACAACTTCATGACAATTCAAGGATGAAGTTTTGCAATATTGAGTACTCAAAATTTAATGTTGGATCTCTCCTTTAACTAATTGAAACTCAAGAAAATTCAAAATCATGCAGACCAATGAATGGAGCTTAACCACTATGCAGCATCTCTGGATCCAAATAGAGACATTTCTTCCGTGACCAAACAACAATTACTTTACTAGAGTCATGATTCCAAGTTCATGTGTACATGTATCACAAATTCTTTTGTCAGCATATTGTCCTCTACTGTAACTTAAAATTGAATCGTACAGAGTGCTGCTTGATACTGTTTAACTGCTTTATTTAAATTTCTTTTCATATTCCCATGCTGGAACGAAATGTGACAAAGTAAATGATGAAAAAAGCCTCAATCCTACCAGCAGGCATTGATCCTAGTGGAATGGATTACCCTCATCTGAGCTTTGACAATGTTCGAATGTAACTCAATTGGATAGCTTTATTTAAAAAAAGAAAGAAAGAAAGAAAGCCCTAATCCTAACACAAAATACCCACAAAAGTGCTGCATTCGCTGTGCTACACAAGCCACAGTGCATTGAGTTTGGTTACACCAGCAAGAAAGCTCAAGTTTTTGAAGGAATGTTTGCTTCAGCTTCCCTGTGGCTCTTCTCTTGTTCAAACTTATCTATGGCTACCTGTAGTTCATCTGTACCTCCAACAGCTCTCATGGTATAGAAGTACACCCCGAAGACAAAAGCGGTCAAGCCTCCAGCTACGACCAGATTCTTTGTCTTGGGCGTGAGGCCTCTATATCCTGAAAGCCCAGCCATCTGGGCAAGAGAGAGAAAATATTGCATTTAGAAAGTTGAAAGAGTGTCACTATTAATCTTACAATGATGCCAGTGCAGGAAATTGCAAGATTAGATGATGGATAATTTTCTAAGAAGCCACAAAATATTAACTGTAAATGATCCAAGACAAGAACAAGTGGGCCAGATTGCTAATAATATCAGGAGGAAATGAAACGGATAGAGACATGAAGCATAATTCAGAAATAAGACAAGAACACATACAGAAAATAGATATTGCTGTCCAAGAAGGATACTCTCTCTTGAGAATATAACTTGGAAAACTTTCTACCAAGACTTGAAAAATAAACTTTCAGTGGTTTTAAAATTAGCTGATAAACATGAAACAAGAACCAAAAAAAAAAAAAATTGGTTGAATTGTATTCCAGTAGTTGCCATCCATATAGCCGACCCCACCTAGTGGGATAAAGGCTTGTTGTTGTTGTATTCCAGTAGTTGCCAAGAATTGAAATGTCTGGCAACCGAAATTTGAAAAGACAGTAATGTTTATTGCTTATCAATATACAAGAAGCTGAGTTGATTTCTTCTTTATATACAAATATAAATTTCACATGTTTCTCACAGGAAACTGTATGATTCAGAAACAACAAAATCATATATAAGTCGTATCAATCAACTATGATGCTCAGTCCAAAAACGGTTTCAGCACTCAGGCAGTACATAACAAATTCAATTCAAGTTACAAATTCCAGGTTGATATTCACGTCATGATCAGATTTGATTAAAGACAATAGTACAATGAACATCTTTAACAAAATTTTAATTGTAAAATTCCATCATAAAAGCAGAAAATTCTACGAATTGGGAAAACTACAAGTCCACATTAGATTATATCGCGATTGTTTGTCCAATCTCTATTCACCAAAAAGTCAACTACATATCAAGAATTCAGGATAATTTTGGAGTTCATAAAGACCATAAAATTTTTACTCAATAGATAAACTACAAGATAGAGCCCGAAGGCACCTGCATCTTTATGAATACAAAAAAGAAAATTGAATGGAAACGAACAGTTCAAGACTTCTTCCCCCACCCCCCTCCGGGTTTTGGCTTGAAGTGGCATATATGGAACTAACAAACATGATAGCTCCAGTGTAAATGACTTGTTACTCCAGCTCCAACCATAAACAAAGAAGACTGATCGACAAACTTTATGAGCTGAATATACCGATACACACACTCAAAATCCAATATTTTAATCGAAGTACCTGAAGGGCTAAAGTATGAAAAGACAACAAATTAAGATAAACCTACATATAAAAAAAAAAAAAGCACACAACCGTTAATGAGCAGCGAAGAGAATAGTTTTCGGTTGCTTTCCATAAAAATTGAAGCTACATACAGAACATCATCCTGAAATCAAATCCAAGATGTGTCTACTTACCAGAACTCAAGGAGGAAGAAGAACAGGACGAGATACGAGAATGCGGCCAGAAGTGTACAGCGGCTCGAGGACTGAACGAGCGAGGCAGAGAGATAGCGGAAGCAATCTGGGTGCGAAGCGCGAACAACAGAATAGAAGATCCCTTCACCTTGACAGCCGAGGTTTTCCTTGTAATCGGCGTGAAGAAGAGGCGGAGCGTTCAGGCGAACCCACGTGGTTTGTGGAGCTATGATCTGAGCTGTCCGCTTTATCTACGGGTGTTATCGTGCCACGAGGGTGAGGCAGAGAGCTTGAGGGGTAGGGAGATCGAAAAAGAGAGCCATAGTCAGTCTGATTTGTATATAAATAATAATAATAATAAAATTTTTTTAAATTATATAAATATATAATTCAATTTCTTAAAATATTATAATACTAATAAAAATTTTAGAAAAATTTTTGTTAATAATTTTTTTAAGAAAAACTCACTTTTTTTATTGAAAAATTATAATTTTTTATTTAATTATTGTGATTTTTTTAAAAAAAGTTGTAATTTTTTAAAGAAAAATTAATCTTTTAATTCTTCAACTTTTAATTCACTTGTTTAATCCTTCAACTATAACTTATTGTGACTCAATCTCTCAACTATGACTCACCTATAACTCAGTCCCTCAACTTTTGAATCATTTACAATTTAGTCCTTCAACTTTTGTTAATTTTTTTTCATGTTAGTTTAGATCTCAAATTAATGAGCAAGAGGAGCGTATTTTAGAATAATATATGAATATTTTTTTATTCCTCTTATTTGATAAAAAAATTTTAAAAAAAATAAAAAATAAGGATCAAATTATAGGTGAATCAAAAGTTGAGGGACTGAGTTACAGCGAGTCATAGTTGAGAGACTGAGTCACAGCGAGTTATAGTTGAAGGACTGAGTTACAAGTGATTTAAAAGTTGAGAGATTAAAAGATTAATTTTTTCTTTTTTAAATAAAAATTGTGAATAGAATTTGTTATTTTAAAAACTTATTTTTTAATAATATAAATTATACTTGATAAATTATAATTTTTTATTCAACTCATATGATTATATAACAAAAATTGTTATTCCTTAAACAAAAATTATAATTAGAGCTTGTTTTTTAATAATAAAAATTACACTTGATAAATTATAATTTTTTATTCAACTGTTATAATTTACAAAATAAAAATTATAATTGGGTGTTATTATTTTCAATAGAGATAAAATGAATTTTTTTCAAAAAAATTATTAATAAAGAAGTTTCGAAAAACTTTATTGATATTATAATATTTTAAAAATTAAATTATTATTTATATAATTTAAAAATTTTTATTATTTTTATTTTTATTTCTAAAAGACATATTCACAGATGAGGACGAGAGTGACGTAAGACGTGGAGAGAGAAAGAGAGGGAGTGAGTAATTAAAGTTGTGTTTGTTGATTAAGCATATTCTCCGTCCGATTAAAATAATCAATGGCTTAAAATCATCATCCTTGTGCCTATTTACTTTAAAATCATAGTCAAATCCTTCAAATATATTTTTTTTAACCGAATACAAGGGATGTATCAAATTACTCGTTTTCTATTAAAAAATAGTTTGCTTCAAATTTTCCAAATTTAGCTTTTTCATTTTTAAATACTTTCTGATATTTTTTAATTTGTCAGAAAACGAGTCAATTTTGTTAATCACGCAGAAAAAAAGGGAATTACGCATACTAATAGTTGAAGCCTACAAAACGCTTAAAAAAAATCTAGAGATAAAAAGTAATACACTAAAAAAAAAAACAACGGTAACCTCCAATTCAACAAAAAGAAAAGAAGTCACAGATCCAGACAAAATAAAAGCAACAGAAATAGAAACAAAATTAGCCAACACCTTTGTTTACAAAATAAAATAAACCATTTATATTTTCAATATGTATTATAATAAAAAAATTAGCTAAAGTGCACATGCATTCCTTTAACTTAATACAATATTTTGTTTTAGTACATTGATTTTATAAAGTTTTTTTTTTCTTTTTTTAACCTAAATTTATTAGTTTCATTAAAAAAAATTTATTAAACTTTTAAATATTAACAAAACTTTTTTAAATGCTTATGTATTAAATATAATTTTTTAAAATAATAATGATTGACTTAAAAAATAATTATTTAAAACTAATAATATTATATTTTAAGAATTAAAAATATATTTTATAAAATTAAAGGACTAAGCTTAAATTTTATGTAAAGTGAGCAGATCAAACCTACATTTTAACGAAAAATTTTAAAATAAAATAAATTATTTTGTATACTTTTAGCATATATAGGATATTTTCTTTATGGATTTTTAAAATAAGTTATTAATTTTTAAATGATGTATAATTACACTTGATTTGTATGGTAATAAATTTTTAGATAGGTTTAACAGATTACGAAATCAAATAAATTACTATCAAGATTAAATTTAGATGTATCAAATAAATTTTTAAATGTATAAGGGGTTTCAATCATGTAGGTTATTATCTATATTAAATTTAAAGTTGCATAGGGTTAAAATATTACGAAATCAAATAAATTATTCATTATTTTAATATGAACAGTTCATAAAATAAAACAAGTTATTTTTTTATGTTACTAATATACACATGGTAATCAATTTTTGAATAAAATATACTATGAAGTAACAAAATAGCAAGGATTGATTTTTTTTATTTAGCATAAGATAGGAAGCATTATTAAGTAGATGTTATGATATCGTTTTAATATTTTTTTACTTATGTATTTTTTAATTTAATTTATAATTTTTAATTAACTTAAAACACACACAATAGGGGGCAATAAATTATGCTGTTTAAGTTTTAATATACAAAAGAGTACAAAATTAAAAATTTCAAAAAAAAATTATACATATCGTTTAAATTTTTATTTTGCAATGGAGTAACAAATATAAAATAATATATTTCCTGGAGAGGATACGGTCTTAAATATCATTTTCCCAAAAATTAATTCGCATATTATTTTATATACTATTACTTTTATATGAAATCATCAATCTATTAGTTTTTATAGTCTATTTAAGGATGGAATGAGCGTTCTAAAACAAACCATTTATTTTAAAATTTTATTTTATACATTTTAAACAATATTAATTTTTATAAAATTATCAAGTTAATATTTTAATAATTATAAACTCCTCTTAATTCTTAATTTTTTCGTTTATTGCATGAGGATGAAATCTAGTTATTTTGAATAAATTAATAATTGAGTAAAATAAACTAACCACCCTTCTATTATGTCTTAGTTATACAAATATTTCATGTATTTGAAAACTCATATAAACCTCATTTAAAATTAAAATATATGTTACATAAACTTTCTTTGCATATTTAAGATTCAATTTTCATCTATCCAACCATTAATTAATTATTAAGTTTGACTTTTCAATTTTTTATTTAACTAAAATGCCTCTCTTTAACCTTAGAATTATCCAAAAATACAAATTTTTCAAAACAATATTTTTTGTTTACATCTAAAAAAATTAATAAATATATTTTGAATTTTTTATCTGTTATAAAATTTAAATTTTTATCAAGTTTATTGAAAATTATTTATTTATTTTTTTAAAATTGCTAAAAACATATTTTAAATACATATTTTTTTCATCACATAACATAAAATGATATAAGTATGAGACATTATATAAATAATTTAAATTTAAATTTTAAAATTTGTAAACATGTTTTTTACAATGAAATTATGTAACTGTCAACATAATATAATTTATGATTTATCTGGGTGAGGATTAAATTAGTAAATAAATTTTTTAATATAAATTTTAATTTAAAGATAATTTTTTAGAATTTTTAGAATATTTTTAATGGAGTTAACAGATTAGACTAAATTATATATTTTCAAAATAAAAAGAAGGCCTATGTAATTAAGGAAAAATAAAAAGGTGATGAGAGCATTTTTCTCTTAATAGTTAATATAAATATCTTTCATATTTTTTTAAAAAAATTATATTAGAGGCATAAAATACTTTCTTAAATAAATGTACAGTATAAAATAAAGAAAGTTGTGTAAGCAAACAATGAATTTAAAAACTTTAAATTTTTAGACAAGTATTTCTTCAATAAACAAGTGTTATGAACCTTATTTATAAATCATTTCTAACAATTTTATTAAAATCAAGAACAATGAAACAAGCACTACTTGGAAGGAATCCAAGCTGTAAATCCAAGCTATTTATAAATCCTTTATAGTTTTGGTAAAATTACGTAAGATTTTCTTAATTTTATAAGTTTGGACGAAGATATAAGAGAGTATAAGCCTTTCTAATAGTGTTGTAAGTGGTGAAAGATTAAAGAATTCCAAGCTTTTAGGGAAAGAAAACCATTTAAATTTCTTTTATGAATTTAGACTAGTATTGAAAGTTCTTTTGAGTTTTACGAAATGAATGCAAATTTTTATAACTTAATTCTCATAGAAAATGATTTGATTTTTAGGATTGATGGCATTTTCATTTAAAACCATGATTTTTGTTGACAAGTGATTGTTAAAAATTAACTTTAAAGTGATTATAGTGCTGTGGAAAAGTCTCAAGAGGTGTGCATATTACTTTTTTTCAAAAAAAAAATTGCTGTCAAAAGTTTTGATTAATGTTATAATTTTCACTTATAACTTCAGCAAAACTTAAGAAGGTGAAAGTCACAACTTCAATTTAAAATAAGGACTTTAGAGTCTCTATTTAAAAGACAGTTAATAAAATACTGTGTTTTTCTTCTGTAAAAACACAAAAGTTAAAGTATAATTTTAGTAATCTAACTTTATATAAAGTTTATTATGCCTATGTCTCTTGCAAAAACACTTTGGGATGCAAATGGGTGGAAATCACTGTGGATACACTTCGAAAGACATATGATCTTCCTATCAAATAATTGCAAGTATGCCTTTTACAAAGGTAATTGTGATCAAATGCCGTTTGATGGAGACGTTCAAGTGTTATGCCTTCCTAATAAAAATCTTTGACAATTTAACACACAAGTTAATCCAAAGAGCATCTTACACTCTAATCTAAATAGGACTGCTTGTATATGATAGCATTTCTTAACTTCTAATGTGACCATTATGATCCATATGAGTGATGTGAATATTGATCAAGCCTCCCTCTTGTATGCTTTAATGATGAGACAACCTATAGACTTTGAAAATATTATGTTTGAGTATTTGTAAAAATTG